ATCCCTCCATGCCCCATGCTGCCATCCCCCCATCATCCCATCTGCCCATCCCTCCATGCCCCATGCCGCCATCCCCCCATCATCCCATCTGCCCATCCCTCCATGCCCCATGCCGCCATCCCCCCATCATCCCATCTGCCCATCCCTCCATGCCCCATGCCGCCATCCCCCCATCATCCCATCTGCCCATCCCTCCATGCCCCATGCCGCCATCCCCCCATCATCCCATCTGCCCATCCCTCCATGCCCCATGCTGCCATCCCCCCATCATCCCATCTGCCCATCCCTCCATGCCCCATGCCGCCATCCCCCCATCATCCCATCTGCCCATCCCTCCATGCCCCATGCCGCCATCCCCCCATCATCCCATCTGCCCATCCCTCCATGCCCCATGCCGCCATCCCCCCATCATCCCATCTGCCCATCCCTCCATGCCCCATGCCGCCATCCCCCCATCATCCCATCTGCCCATCCCTCCATGCCCCATGCCGCCATCCCCCCATCATCCCATCTGCCCATCCCTCCATGCCCCATGCTGCCATCCCCCCATCATCCCATCTGCCCATCCCTCCATGCCCCATGCCGCCATCCCATCTGCCCATCCCTCCATGCCCCATGCCGCCATCCCCCCATCATCCCATCTGCCCATCCCTCCATGCCCCATGCCGCCATCCCCCCATCATCCCATCTGCCCATCCCTCCATGCCCCATGCCGCCATCCCCCCATCATCCCATCTGCCCATCCCTCCATGCCCCATGCCGCCATCCCCCCATCATCCCATCTGCCCATCCCTCCATGCCCCATGCCGCCATCCCCCCATCATCCCATCTGCCCATCCCTCCATGCCCCATGCCGCCATCCCCCCATCATCCCATCTGCCCATCCCTCCATGCCCCATGCCGCCATCCCCCCATCATCCCATCTGCCCATCCCTCCATGCCCCATGCCGCCATCCCCCCATCATCCCATCTGCCCATCTCTCCATGCCCCATGCCGCCATCCCCCCATCATCCCATCTGCCCATCCCTCCATGCCCCATGCCGCCATCCCCCCATCATCCCATCTGCCCATCCCTCCATGCCCCATGCCGCCATCCCCCCATCATCCCATCTGCCCATCCCTCCATGCCCCATGCCGCCATCCCCCCATCATCCCATCTGCCCATCCCTCCATGCCCCATGCCGCCATCCCCCCATCATCCCATCTGCCCATCCCTCCATGCCCCATGCCGCCATCCCCCCATCATCCCATCTGCCCATCCCTCCATGCCCCATGCCGCCATCCCCCCATCATCCCATCTGCCCATCCCTCCATGCCCCATGCCGCCATCCCCCCATCATCCCATCTGCCCATCCCTCCATGCCCCATGCCGCCATCCCCCCATCATCCCATCTGCCCATCTCTCCATGCCCCATGCCGCCATCCCCCCATCATCCCATCTGCCCATCCCTCCATGCCCCATGCCGCCATCCCCCCATCATCCCATCTGCCCATCCCTCCATGCCCCATGCCGCCATCCCCCCATCATCCCATCTGCCCATCCCTCCATGCCCCATGCCGCCATCCCCCCATCATCCCATCTGCCCATCCCTCCATGCCCCATGCCGCCATCCCCCCATCATCCCATCTGCCCATCCCTCCATGCCCCATGCTGCCATCCCCCCATCATCCCATCTGCCCATCCCTCCATGCCCCATGCCGCCATCCCCCCATCATCCCATCTGCCCATCCCTCCATGCCCCATGCCGCCATCCCCCCATCATCCCATCTGCCCATCCCTCCATGCCCCATGCCGCCATCCCCCCATCATCCCATCTGCCCATCCCTCCATGCCCCATGCCGCCATCCCCCCATCATCCCATCTGCCCATCCCTCCATGCCCCATGCTGCCATCCCCCCATCATCCCATCTGCCCATCCCTCCATGCCCCATGCCGCCATCCCCCCATCATCCCATCTGCCCATCCCTCCATGCCCCATGCCGCCATCCCCCCATCATCCCATCTGCCCATCTCTCCATGCCCCATGCCGCCATCCCCCCATCATCCCATCTGCCCATCCCTCCATGCCCCATGCCGCCATCCCCCCATCATCCCATCTGCCCATCTCTCCATGCCCCATGCCGCCATCCCCCCATCATCCCATCTGCCCATCCCTCCATGCCCCATGCCGCCATCCCCCCATCATCCCATCTGCCCATCCCTCCATGCCCCATGCCGCCATCCCCCCATCATCCCATCTGCCCATCCCTCCATGCCCCATGCCGCCATCCCCCCATCATCCCATCTGCCCATCCCTCCATGCCCCATGCCGCCATCCCCCCATCATCCCATCTGCCCATCCCTCCATGCCCCATGCCGCCATCCCCCCATCATCCCATCTGCCCATCCCTCCATGCCCCATGCCGCCATCCCCCCATCATCCCATCTGCCCATCCCTCCATGCCCCATGCCGCCATCCCCCCATCATCCCATCTGCCCATCCCTCCATGCCCCATGCCGCCATCCCCCCATCATCCCATCTGCCCATCCCTCCATGCCTCATGCCGCCATCCCCCCATCATCCCATCTGCCCATCCCTCCATGCCCCATGCCGCCATCCCCCCATCATCCCATCTGCCCATCCCTCCATGCCCCATGCCGCCATCCCCCCATCATCCCATCTGCCCATCCCTCCATGCCCCATGCCGCCATCCCCCCATCATCCCATCTGCCCATCCCTCCATGCCCCATGCCGCCATCCCCCCATCATCCCATCTGCCCATCCCTCCATGCCCCATGCCGCCATCCCCCCATCATCCCATCTGCCCATCCCTCCATGCCCCATGCCGCCATCCCCCCATCATCCCATCTGCCCATCCCTCCATGCCCCATGCCGCCATCCCCCCATCATCCCATCTGCCCATCCCTCCATGCCCCATGCCGCCATCCCCCCATCATCCCATCTGCCCATCCCTCCATGCCCCATGCCGCCATCCCCCCATCATCCCATCTGCCCATCCCTCCATGCCCCATGCCGCCATCCCCCCATCATCCCATCTGCCCATCCCTCCATGCCCCATGCCGCCATCCCCCCATCATCCCATCTGCCCATCCCTCCATGCCCCATGCCGCCATCCCCCCATCATCCCATCTGCCCATCCCTCCATGCCCCATGCCGCCATCCCCCCATCATCCCATCTGCCCATCCCTCCATGCCCCATGCCGCCATCCCCCCATCATCCCATCTGCCCATCTCTCCATGCCCCATGCCGCCATCCCCCCATCATCCCATCTGCCCATCCCTCCATGCCCCATGCCGCCATCCCCCCATCATCCCATCTGCCCATCTCTCCATGCCCCATGCCGCCATCCCCCCATCATCCCATCTGCCCATCCCTCCATGCCCCATGCCGCCATCCCCCCATCATCCCATCTGCCCATCCCTCCATGCCCCATGCCGCCATCCCCCCATCATCCCATCTGCCCATCCCTCCATGCCCCATGCCGCCATCCCCCCATCATCCCATCTGCCCATCCCTCCATGCCCCATGCCGCCATCCCCCCATCATCCCATCTGCCCATCCCTCCATGCCCCATGCTGCCATCCCCCCATCATCCCATCTGCCCATCCCTCCATGCCCCATGCCGCCATCCCCCCATCATCCCATCTGCCCATCCCTCCATGCCCCATGCTGCCATCCCCCCATCATCCCATCTGCCCATCCCTCCATGCCCCATGCCGCCATCCCCCCATCATCCCATCTGCCCATCCCTCCATGCCCCATGCCGCCATCCCCCCATCATCCCATCTGCCCATCCCTCCATGCCCCATGCCGCCATCCCCCCATCATCCCATCTGCCCATCCCTCCATGCCCCATGCCGCCATCCCCCCATCATCCCATCTGCCCATCCCTCCATGCCCCATGCCGCCATCCCCCCATCATCCCATCTGCCCATCCCTCCATGCCCCATGCCGCCATCCCCCCATCATCCCATCTGCCCATCCCTCCATGCCCCATGCCGCCATCCCCCCATCATCCCATCTGCCCATCCCTCCATGCCCCATGCCGCCATCCCCCCATCATCCCATCTGCCCATCCCTCCATGCCCCATGCCGCCATCCCCCCATCATCCCATCTGCCCATCCCTCCATGCCCCATGCCGCCATCCCCCCATCATCCCATCTGCCCATCCCTCCATGCCCCATGCCGCCATCCCCCCATCATCCCATCTGCCCATCCCTCCATGCCCCATGCCGCCATCCCCCCATCATCCCATCTGCCCATCCCTCCATGCCCCATGCCGCCATCCCCCCATCATCCCATCTGCCCATCCCTCCATGCCCCATGCCGCCATCCCCCCATCATCCCTTCTGCCCATCCCTCCATGCCCCATGCCGCCATCCCCCCATCATCCCATCTGCCCATCCCTCCATGCCCCATGCCGCCATCCCCCCATTCCTTCAAGCCCTCCATTCCTCAACCCGTCCTTTCCCAATCCTCCTCCCTGGCTCCCCTCCCCATTACAACCCCACACCCCGCACCAGTCCGCTGCTAAACTATTGCTTGCTTCTGCTTGAGGCCCACTCCGACCTCCTCTTTGATGGTTCCCCCACCCCTCCCTCCCCATTTCCTCCCACCCTCCCATTCCTCCTCTCAACCCCCCATTCCTCCTCCCCGTCATTCCCTCCCTCCACCACACCAGTCGTTGCTGCACTACTGCGTGCATCTGCTCGAGGCCCACTCCGACCTCCTTGCTGCGCTCATTTGTCCCCATTCTTCCCTCCCCAACCGTCCCGCCCCCTTCCCCCATTCCTCTCCCCGTGATCAGACGTTGCTGCGCTACTGCGTGCACCTCCTCGAGGCCCACTCCCACCTCCTCGAGGCCCACTCCCACCTCCTCGAGGCCCACTCCCACCTCCTCTCACATGTTTCCGCACTCCTCCCTTTCCGTTTCCCCCCCTTTTCCCATACTCCCTCCCTGTCATATCCCCCCCCCCCCCCATTCGAAACGATCAGACGTTGCTGCACTACTGCGTGCATCTGCTCGAGGCCCACTCCGACCTCCTCGCCGCACACCTGCCGCCCGCCCTGCCGCTCACCTGTAAGACCTGCTGCCGCCATGCTCTGAGCATCCATGCAGTTGATGTCTGTGTAGAAACGGATGAGGCAGATGGTGATTCGTTAAGGTGCAATCACACAGTAACCGACGGAGGCAGAACGGAAGATGGCAGCGGAAAAGTGGGGAGTGTGATGCGGTGAAGAGGAGTGAGTCTGTGTGGACAGCGGTGCTGGTAGACATGGGCAACGGACCGAGTCGAGTAAAACTCGACTCGGTCTGGGCCAAAACTCGATCGGGTTCGAGCTGGAGTCGGGTGAAACCCGGTCGAGTTTTTTGCCAAGGTTCTGGACTCGAGACTCGACTGTATAAGGGCGAGTTTCATAAAACTCGACCGGCGCTATTCATACACTCGGTCGAGTCCTAGTTAAACTCGGCTCGGAAGGGAGGGGGGGAGAGGGGGGGGAGGTGGGTGGAACCGAGGTTGTCCGCGGCCGCTTTCTGCGCGCGCTCCGCATCTGCAGCCGCAGCAATAGCACGAAGCCTGCGGCGCTGTGTAGCCGTCTCCACCTCCTGGTCTCCTCTCCCCCCCCTCTCCCGCATGATCGCCACGGTGGGTTCCTCCCGCCCCCTCTTTCCCGCCGTTGGTGTTCTTACTTGTCAGCTACTTGAAGCGATCTTAAGTTTAAGAAGAAAAAAAAGCCGGGCGTTTGGCTGGTTTGGCTTTGGAAACTACGGACGACATGTTGAGAAAGGTGACTGACTGAAACCGAGATCTGAAAATGGTCCCACAAAACTTCAATTTTCTAAATTTGTATGCCCACCCCAATGCCGCGACGAGTTTTTCGTAAACTCGGCGAGTCCGAAAAAAACTTGACATGGGGCCCGAGCTTAGACCGAGTTTTTTTAAAACTCGGCGGGTAAAACTCGACTCGGCCCGGTCGAGTTTTTTCAACTGGTAATCGCACTCGACACTCGACCAGTAACGAGTCCCCCGATCGAGTCGAGCTTGGAAACTCGACTCTTTGCCCATGTCTAGGTGCTGGCACCCCTGTGGTAGCAGCTACCGTGCCTGCCACTGTCATCCACCCCCTAACCAAGGTAAGTCTCTGCCTATGAAGGTGCATTAGACGACCATACACATGCTCTTTATTAGGAGCTCCGCTGCTTGCCACTGTCTCATCATGCAATGATGCGTCACCACTCACTTCCCAATGTGAGGCTCTATTTGTAAAGGTGCCTCGAAAGATTTCATGGCAGCATCAGCATCACATCAGCATCAGCATCAGCATCAGCATCAGCATCAGCATCAGCATCAGCATCACATCAGCATCAGCATCAGCATCAGCATCAGCATCAGCATCAGCATCAGCATCAGCATCAGCATCACATCAGCATCAGCATCAGCATCAGCATCACATCACAATCAGCATCAGCATCGCATCAGCATCAGCATCAGCATCACCATTAGCATCAGCATCAGCATCAGCATCAGCATCAGCATCAGCATCAGTCTCACATCAGCATCAGCATCAGCATCAGCATCAGCATCAGCATCAGCATCAGCGCATCAGCATCAGCATCAGCATCAGCATCAGCATCACATCAGCATCAGCGCATCAGCATCAGCATCACATCAGCATCACATCAGCATCAGCATCAGCATCAGCACATCAGCATCAGCATCAGCATCAGCATCACATCAGCATCAGCATCAGCGCATCAGCATCAGCATCAGCATCAGCATCACATCAGCATCAGCATCAGCATCAGCATCGCATCAGCATCAGCATCAGCATCAGCATCAGCATCAGCATCAGCGCATCAGCATCAGCATCAGCATCAGCATCAGCATCAGCATCAGCGCATCAGCATCAGCATCAGCATCAGCATCAGCATCAGCATCAGCATCAGCGCATCAGCATCAGCATCAGCATCAGCATCAGCATCAGCATCAGCATCAGCGCATCAGCATCAGCGCATCAGCATCAGCATCAGCATCAGCATCAGCATCAGCATCAGCATCAGCATCAGCTCATCAGCATCAGCATCAGCATCAGCATCAGCGCATCAGCGAATCAGCATCAGCATCAGCATCAGCATCAGCGCATCAGCATCAGCATCAGCATCAGCATCAGCATCAGTCTCACATCAGCATCAGCATCAGCATCAGCATCAGCATCAGCGCATCAGCATCAGCATCAGCATCAGCATCAGCATAACATCAGCATCAGCGCATCAGCATCAGCATCAGCATCACATCAGCATCACATCAGCATCAGCATCAGCATCAGCACATCAGCATCAGCATCAGCATCAGCATCAGCATCACATCAGCATCAGCATCAGCGCATCAGCATCAGCATCAGCATCAGCATCACATCAGCATCAGCATCAGCATCAGCATCGCATCAGCATCAGCATCAGCATCAGCATCAGCATCAGCATCAGCATCAGCATCAGCATCAGCGCATCAGTCAGCATCAGCATCAGCATCAGCATCAGCGCATCAGCATCAGCATCAGCATCAGCATCAGCGCATCAGCATCAGCATCAGCATCAGCATCAGCATCAGCATCAGAGCATCAGCATCAGCGCATCAGCATCAGCATCAGCATCAGCATCAGCATCAGCGCATCAGCATCAGCATCAGCATCAGCATCAGCATCAGCGCATCAGCATCAGCATCAGCATCAGCATCAGCATCAGCATCAGCATCAGCATCAGCATCAGCATCAGCATCAGCATCAGCATCAGCATCAGCTCATCAGCATCAGCATCAGCATCAGCATCAGCGCATCAGCGCATCAGCATCAGCATCAGCATCAGCAACAGCATCAGCATCAGCGCATCAGCGCATCAGCATCAGCATCAGCATCAGCATCAGCGCATCAGCATCAGCATCACCATCAGCATCAGCATCAGCGCATCAGCATCAGCATCAGCATCAGCATCAGCGCATCAGCATCAGCATCAGCATCAGCGCATCAGCATCAGCATCAGCATCAGCGCATCAGCGCATCAGCATCAGCATCAGCATCAGCATCAGCATCAGCATCATCAGCATCAGCATCAGCGCATCAGCGCATCAGCATCAGCATCAGCGCATCAGCATCAGCATCAGCATCAGCATCAGCATCAGCATCAGCGCATCAGCATCAGCATCAGCATCAGCATCAGCGCATCAGCATCAGCATCAGCATCAGCATCAGCATCAGAGCATCAGCATCAGCATCAGCATCAGCATCAGCGCATCAGCATCAGCATCAGCATCAGCATCAGCATCAGCGCATCAGCATCAGCATCAGCATCAGCATCAGCGCATCAGCATCAGCATCAGCATCAGCATCCGCATCAGCATCAGCATCAGCATCAGCATCAGCATCAGCATCAGCATCCGCATCAGCATCAGCATCAGCATCAGCATCAGCATCAGCATCAGCGCATCAGCATCAGCATCAGCATCAGCATCAGCATCAGCGCATCAGCATCAGCATCAGCATCAGCATCAGCATCAGCGCATCAGCATCAGCATCAGCATCAGCATCAGCATCAGCATCAGCGCATTAGCATCAGCATCAGCATCAGCGCATCAGCATCAGCATCAGCATCAGCATCAGCGCATCAGCATCAGCATCAGCATCAGCATCAGCATCAGCATCAGCATCAGCGCATCAGCATCTGCATCAGCATCAGCATCAGCATCAGTATCAGCGCATCAGCATCAGCATCAGCATCAGCATCAGCATCAGCGCATCAGCATCAGCATCAGCATCAGCATCAGCATCAGCATCAGCATCAGCATCAGCATCAGCGCATCAGCATCAGCATCAGCATCAGCGCATCAGCATCAGCATCAGCATCAGCATCAGCGCATCAGCATCAGCATCAGCATCAGCATCAGCATCAGCGCATCAGCATCAGCATCAGCATCAGTATCAGCGCATCAGCATCAGCATCAGCATCAGCGCATCAGCATCAGCATCAGCATCAGCATCAGCGCATCAGCATCAGCATCAGCATCAGCATCAGCATCAGCGCATCAGCATCAGCATCAGCATCAGCATCAGCATCAGCATCAGCGCATCAGCATCAGCATCAGCATCAGCGCATCAGCATCAGCGCATCAGCATCAGCATCAGCATCAGCATCAGCATCAGCGCATCAGCATCAGCATCAGCATCAGCATCAGTATCAGCGCATCAGCATCAGCATCAGCATCAGCGCATCAGCATCAGCATCAGCATCAGCATCAGCGCATCAGCATCAGCATCAGCATCAGCATCAGCATCAGCATCAGCATCAGCATCAGCGCATCAGCATCAGCATCAGCATCAGCATCAGCATCAGCATCAGCATCAGCATCAGCGCATCAGCATCAGCATCAGCATCAGCGCATCAGCATCAGCATCAGCATCAGCATCAGCATCAGCATCAGCGCATCAGCATCAGCATCAGCATCAGCATCAGCATCAGCGCATCAGCATCAGCATCAGCATCAGCATCAGCGCATCAGCATCAGCATCAGCATCAGCATCAGCATCAGCATCAGCATCAGCATCAGCGCATCAGCATCAGCATCAGCATCAGCATCAGCATCAGCGCATCAGCATCAGCATCAGCATCAGCATCAGCGCATCAGCATCAGCATCAGCATCAGCATCAGCATCAGCATCAGCGCATCAGCATCAGCATCAGCATCAGCGCATCAGCATCAGCATCAGCATCAGCATCAGCGCATCAGCATCAGCATCAGCATCAGCATCAGCATCAGCATCAGCATCAGCGCATCAGCATCAGCATTAGCATCAGCATCAGCATCAGCATCAGCATCAGCATCAGCATCATCGCATCAGCATCAGCATCAGCATCAGCATCAGCGCATCAGCATCAGCATCAGCAAGCGCATCAGCATCAGCATCAGCATCAGCATCAGCGCATCAGCATCAGCATCAGCATCAGCATCAGCATCAGCATCAGCATCAGCGCATCAGCATCAGCATCAGCATCAGCATCAGCATCAGCATCAGCATCAGCGCATCAGCATCAGCATCAGCATCAGCGCATCAGCATCAGCATCAGCATCAGCATCAGCATCAGCATTGGAGCTGGGGCGGTTAGGGGGGGTGCTGGCGGGGTGCTGTTAGGGCGTTATGGGCGAGGCTTACCTGTGAAGGGTTTACCATTACAGAATTGAGGTGATGAGAGGGAGAGGTGATGATTCTGTGAAGGGTCGTGGCTAATCTGTCATGAGCTGAGGTGCCTAGAGGGTGCGTTCACGGGTGGTTGGGAACTTTAAGATTGTCTCGGTCGCAGCAGCTTCTTGAATCACTCACTATTCACCTCTCAAAATTCTCCTCCTTCCCCCACCGCCCTCACAGCCCTACCGCCCTCACAGCCCTGCTGGCCTCCTGTGAGTGGGCGGAGCTGCGCTCCTGTGAGTGGGCGGGGGTGCGTTCAACGTGGCATTCACAGCAGACGCCTCCTCCACCCTCCTCACCCTCGTATACTGCAACAGCCACCTCATGCACTGAACTTCACCCTCTCTTTTCCTCCCCTGTCTCTGCTCTTTGTTCCTCTTGTCTCTCTCCCCTCGCCTCCACCCCTCCCTCACAGCCCTCCTAGCGTCCTGTGAGTGGGCGGAGCTGCGCTCCTGGCTGCTCTTCAACGTCTCGTTCACCGCAGACGCCTCCTCCACGCTGCTCACCCTCGCGCACTGCGCGCTCGTGCTGCTCATCCGAGGCTTCTCCTTCTCAGTCATCGACCTCGTGCTCGTCTTCAACATACGGACACTCCTCGCCGCCCTCTCCAAGCGCGTGGCCGGCTTCCTTCGTTGGCACGCCGCCCTCCGCCTCCTCCGCTCCACCTTCCCGGACGCCACTCCAGCTCAAATCACCGCCTTTGCGGACGACTGTGCCATTTGCCGCGAACCTTTATCGTCCGCCAAGCGTCTCCCCTGCGGGCACCTGTTTCACCTGTCGTGCCTGCGGAGTTGGCTGGAGCACGGGTCGCAAGCGCCCTACTCCTGCCCCACCTGCCGCCGCCCGCTTGACAGCCTCCCCCCCAACGTGCTCTCGTCCCTCTCCCCTCCGCCCCAGCCCCCCCCCGCTGCTGCTGCTGCTGGGGTTGCTGCGAATGAACCCCCACAGGAGGCTGCTTGGGGGGGTGGGTGGGGGCAAGGGGGAGGGGGGGATGTGGGGAGGGGAGTGGATCCGGTGTGGGGTGGGGATGCAGGTCAGGGAGGGGGAGCAAGGGTGGGGCATGGGAGGGATCAGGGGGGAGAGGGGCAGCGTGGGGAGGGGGGCGGTGGGGGGATGGGGGGAGGGGAGCAGCAGGAAGGGGGAGAGAGGGCAATTGGGGCAGGCCGTTTCTTTTCCTCTTCCATTTCGCTAAGGGGAATGCGGTTCCGAGGAGGGGGGAGTGGGAGGGCAAGACATGCGGGGGAAGAGGGGGCAGGGAGCGGGGCAGAACGGGGGACAGGGGGAGGGGGGGCAGGAGGAGAAGGGGGGGCGCCTGTGCAACCAAGAGAGGGGGCAGCGGCAGGAGGGAGAGAAGCAGGGGAAGAAGGAAGACGGGGAGTGGCGGGAGGAGGAGGAGGGGAGGAGGTGAGGGGCAGGCGGAGAGGGTGGAGCTTGTGGGGAGGGGGAGGGGAAGGCGCACGGGGGGGAGGGGGAGAAGGTGCGCGGGGGGGAGGGGGGGGTTGGGGGATGGGGATGCGGATGGGGGTGGATGAGGAGAGGATGGCAGCGATGGTGGCTCAGGTGGAAGAGGTGTTACCGCATGTGCCCACACATGCCATCCGCCAGGTATGTGCCCACTCATGCCATCCGACAGGTATGTGCCCACTCATGCCATCCGACAGGTATGTGCGCACACATGCCATCCGACAGGTATGTGCCCACACATGCCATCCGACAGGTATGTGCCCACACATGCCATCCGACAGGTATGTATGTGCCCACACATGCCATCCGACAGGTATGTGCCCACACATGCCATCCGACAGGTATGTGCCCACACATGCCATCCGACAGGTATGTATGTGCCCACACATGCCATCCGACAGGTATGTGCCCACGCATGCCATTCGACAGGTATGTGCCCACACATGCCATCCGACAGGTATGTGCCCACACATGCCATCCGACAGGTATGTGCCCACTCATGCCATCCGACAGGTATGTGCGCACACATGCCATCCGACAGGTATGTGCCCACACATGCCATCCGACAGGTATGTGCCCACACATGCCATCCGACAGGTATGTGCCCACACATGCCATCCGACAGGTATGTGCCCACACATGCCATCCGACAGGTATGTGCCCACACATGCCATCCGACAGGTATGTGCCCACACATGCCATCCGACAGGTATGTATGTGCCCACACATGCCATCCGACAGGTATGTGCCCACACATGCCATCCGACAGGTATGTGCCCACACATGCCATCCGCCTGGTGTGTATGTGCCCACACATGCCATCCGACAGGTATGTGCCCACACATGCCATCCGACAGGTATGTATGTGCCCACACATGCCATCCGACAGGTATGTGCCCACACATGCCATCCGACAGGTATGTGCCCACACATGCCATCCGACAGGTATGTGCCCACACATGCCATCCGACAGGTATGTGCCCACACATGCCATCCGACAGGTATGTATGTGCCCACACATGCCATCCGACAGGTATGTGCCCACACATGCCATCCGACAGGTATGTGCCCACACATGCCATCCGCCTAGTGTGTATGTGCCCACACATGCCATCCGACAGGTATGTGCCCACTCATGCCATCCGACAGGTATGTGCCCACTCATGCCATCCGACAGGTATGTGCCCACACATGCCATCCGACAGGTATGTGCCCACACATGCCATCCGACAGGTATGTGCCCACACATGCCATCCGACAGGTATGTGCCCACACATGCCATCCGACAGGTATGTGCCCACTCATGCCATCCGACAGGTATGTGCCCACTCATGCCATCCGACAGGTATGTGCCCACACATGCCATCCGACAGGTATGTGCCCACACATGCCATCCGACAGGTATGTGCCCACTCATGCCATCCGACAGGTATGTGCCCACACATGCCATCCGACAGGTATGTGCCCACACATGCCATCCGACAGGTATGTGCCCACTCATGCCATCCGACAGGTATGTGCCCACACATGCCATCCGACAGGTATGTGCCCACTCATGCCATCCGACAGGTATGTGCCCACTCATGCCATCCGACAGGTATGTGCCCACTCATGCCATCCGACAGGTATGTGCCCACTCATGCCATCCGACAGGTATGTATGTGCCCACACATGCCATCCGACAGGTATGTGCCCACACATGCCATCCGACAGGTATGTGCCCACTCATGCCATCCGACAGGTATGTGCCCACACATGCCATCCGACAGGTATGTGCCCACACATGCCATCCGACAGGTATGTGCCCACTCATGCCATCCGACAGGTATGTGCCCACTCATGCCATCCGACAGGTATGTGCCCACACATGCCATCCGACAGGTATGTGCCCACTCATGCCATCCGACAGGTATGTGCCCACACATGCCATCCGACAGGTATGTGCCCACACATGCCATCCGACAGGTATGTGCCCACACATGCCATCCGACAGGTATGTGCCCACACATGCCATCCGACAGGTATGCGCCCACTCATGCCATCCGACAGGTATGTGCCCACTCATGCCATCCGACAGGTATGTGCCCACACATGCCATCCGACAGGTATGTGCCCACACATGCCATCCGACAGGTATGTGCCCACTCATGCCATCCGACAGGTATGTGCCCACACATGCCATCCGACAGGTATGTGCCCACTCATGCCATCCGACAGGTATGTGCCCACACATGCCATCCGACAGGTATGTGCCCACTCATGCCATCCGACAGGTATGTGCCCACTCATGCCATCCGACAGGTATGTGCCCACTCATGCCATCCGACAGGTATGTGCCCACTCATGCCATCCGACAGGTATGTGCCCACACATGCCATCCGACAGGTATGTGCCCACTCATGCCATCCGACAGGTATGTGCCCACACATGCCATCCGACAGGTATGTGCCCACTCATGCCATCCGACAGGTATGTGCCCACTCATGCCATCCGACAGGTATGTTCCAATCACCCGTCACATCATGCATGCAATGCAGAACAGCATGGGACATACATGCTTGCATGGGGAGCTGTGCTGCTACATCCATCCCACTCATTCTTTTCTGCTTGCTGCTCTCGTCGTTGCTTGCTGTTTGTCTGCATCTGGATTTGCATGCAAACATGTGTGCGTGTGTGCATGTGTGCATGTGCGTGTGTGTGCAGGAGTTGTTGAGAAGGCCAAATGTGTTGCTGGCAGTCAACGCGCTCATGGACGCATGGTGACACGCTCCCATGGTGACACGCTCCCATGGTGACACGCTCCCATGGTGACATGCACCATGGTTACATGCAGCAGTGTGGCAATGCATTGCCTCACCTTGCCCTAGTGGTTCTTGCTAGTCGCACTACTGGTTCTCACTGCTGGTTCTCACTCACTCCCGCCATGCCATTCTCTGCTGCCACCACCTCATGGCATATCAGACCCACACACATCATCCGCTCCTGCTCACCTACCCATGTCGTCCTCTTAGCAGACTCACACATATCGTGCACGTGTCCCAGCTCTCGCTGCCCATGTACCCTTCAAGAACATAGCCTTCTGCCGCTCACCCTTCTAACCGTGCTTCCTTGGTGTTAAGCTTTGTTGCTAAGCTTTCTGTTTACTACATTGATAACATCTGTACAGTGTGAAGAACTTTCTTCCCAGTTACTACAACGGCCACAGTTAGAAGCTTTCTTGAAAGATGCGGCCTTGCTGTGCCTGGCTTGCAATGCCATTCATGTAGAAGTACATACAGTGAAGAATATTTGTGTATGATGAACAGTCCTGTCTTTGGCAACACAATTGAAGCAACATGATATCCTGGTTGGTAGGTCTCGGGCTATGCCATTCGAGAGAGGTGTTTCCACCTTCGGTCCCCTCGAAAGGTCCATGGACCTACACGGCTTTCAGAGGTTGATAGTTTTTTGTGCAACAGAACTGGTCGGCCAAATATACTCTTAAGAGCAATGAGTATACCATCAGCTATAACGGGGAGATGTTCCTATATGCATCACCAGCTCTAACAGCTACATGTTCTAACTCCACCCCCTCCACTTTTTTTTTTTTTTTTAGATGTGGGCTCGTGCACGAGCCATAGGAGGACAAAAATCCATCCCGCCACTCCCCCCTAGTGGGTTTGCTGACGGACCAAGACCCTAAAAGCAGGGTACTGCCGTTCATTCGGCTAAAAACCTCCATAGAACTCCAACTGCTTCCTTGCAGCCAGGCCTCTAAGCAGCTAACTCCTTCACAGCAGCAGCTAACTCCTTCACAGCAGCAGCTAACTCCTTCACAGCAGCAGCTAACTCCTTCACAGCAGCAGCTAACTCCTTCACAGCAGCAGCTAACTCCTTCACAGCAGCAGCTAACTCCTTCACAGCAGCAGCTAACTCCTCCACAGCAGCAGCTAACTCCTTCACAGCAGCAGCTAACTCCTTCACAGCAGCAGCTAACTCCTTCACAGCAGCAGCTAACTCCTTCACAGCAGAAGCTAACTCCTTCACAGCAGCAGCTAACTCCTTCACAGCAGCAGCTAACTCCTCCACAGCAGCAGCTAACTCCTTCACAGCAGCAGCTAACTCCTTCACAGCAGCAGCTAACTCCTTCACAGCAGAAGCTAACTCCTTCACAGCAGCAGCTAACTCCTTCACAGCAGCAGCTAACTCCTTCACAGCAGCAGCTAACTCCTTCACAGCAGCAGCTAACTCTTCACAGCAGCAACTAACTCCTCCACAGCAGCAGCTAACTCCTTCACAGCAGAAGCTAACTCCTTCACAGCAGCAGCTAACTCCTTCACAGCAGCAGCTAACTCCTTCACAGCAGCAGCTAACTCCTTCACAGCAGCAGCTAACTTCTTCACAGCAGCAGCTAACTCCTTCACAGCAGCAGCTAACTCCTTCACAGCAGCAGCTAACTCCTTCACAGCAGCAGCTAACTCCTTCACAGCAGCAGCTAACTCCTTCACAGCAGAAGCTAACTCCTTCACAGCAGCAACTAACTCCTCCACAGCAGCAGCTAACTCCTTCACAGCAGAAGCTAACTCCTTCATAGCAGCAGCTAACTCCTTCACAGCAGCAGCTAACTCCTTCACAGCAGCAGCTAACTCCTTCACAGTAGCAGCTAACTCCTTCACAGCAGCAGCTAACTCCTTCACAGCAGCAACTAACTCCTTCACAGCAGAAGCTAACTCCTTCACAGCAGCAGCTAACTCCTTCACAGCAGCAGCTAACTCCTTCACAGCAGCAGCTAACTCCTTCACAGCAGCAGCTAACTCCTTCACAGCAGCAGCTAACTCCTTCACAGCAGCAGTTGACTCCTTCACAGCAGCAATTGACTCCTTCACAGCAGCAGTTGACTCCTTCACAGCAGCAGTTACTCCTTCACAGCGGCAGTTGACTCCTTCACAGCAGCAGTTAACTCCTTCACCCCTCCACTACGGCCACTACTCCTTCACAGCAGCTGCTTCCTGCAGCCAGCTCTATCATTCGTTGTCAGCTCCTTCACACCGCCTCAAAGGAGCCATCTCCGTCGCCCCGTCTTTTCAGCCGCCACTCCTTCACCCCGTCCACTGCAGCCGTCACTCCTCCACCCCTCCACAGCATCACGGTTTGAAAGGGTTAACTGTGAGGAAGAAACGTAAAGAGGCAAAAGTAAAGGACTCTCCACACCCACCCCAGTGTGGACCTGCCTTTGAGAGGTCGGACACTCCCGCACCCACCCCGGTGCGGCCTGGTCCTGTGACACTTGTCTCCCTCACCCACCCCGGTGAGTCCAGACTGAGTGCAAGGCTCACCCCAATAGTGGCGCTACTCAGAGCGTGCGGGTACCCAGTCGGCCGCCCGGCCCGGGCTCCGTCACGGCACTATTGGGGATCACCAGGCACTCATGCCACTGCCTTAGGAAACCTCTCCGACTGAGCATGCACTCTCAGTCGCCTCTTGCTTATTTACGTTTCCACCACCCAGTCAGCCCCTCGCCACCGATCTGCCGTGCGCCGCAGCCCTGCTACACCAGATTGATTGGCCGCCATCCCTACTCCGCCGTCCCTGCTACGTCAGCTTCACTGCTACGGCTGTTCGGCTGTTCGGCTTCACTGTCGGCTGTTCGGCTTCACTGTCGGCTGTTCGGCTTCACTGACGGCTGTTCGGCTTCACTGACGGCTGTTCGGCTTCACTGACGGCTGTTCGGCTTCACTGACGGCTGTTCGGCTTCACTGACGCCTGTTCGGCTTCACTGACGCCTGTTCGGCTTCACTGACGCCTGTTCGGCTTCACTGACGGCTGTTCGGCTTCACTGACGGCTGTTCGGCTTCACTGACGGCTGTTCGGCTTCACTGACGGCTGTTCGGCTTCACTGACGGCTGTTCCGCTTCACTGACGGCTATTCGGCTTCACTGACGGCTGTTCGGCTTCACTGACGGCTGTTCGGCTTCACTGACGGCTGTTCGGCTTCACTGTCGGCTGTTCGGCTTCACTGTCGGCTGTTCGGCTTCACTGACGGCTGTTCGGCTTCACTGACGGCTGTTCGGCTTCACTGACGGCTGTTCATCTTCGCTGTCGGCTGTTCGGCTTCACTGACGGCTGTTCGGCTTCACTGACGGCTGGTCCCTTGACGGCTTCGCAGGTCCCTTGACGGCTTCGCAGGTCCCTTGACGGCTTCGCTGGTCCCTTGACGGCTTCGCTGGTCCCTTGACGGCTGCTCTGGACCCTTGAAGGCTGTTCGTTGAAGGCGGTGCGTTGAAGGCTGCTCGTTGAAGGCGGCTGCTCGTTGAAGGCTGCTCGTTGAAGGCTGTTGTTCGTTGAAGGTTGCTCGTTGAAGGCTGCTCGTTGAAGGCTGTTCGTTGAAGGTTGCTGCTCGTTGAAGGCTGCTCGTTGAAGGCTGCTCGTTGAAGGCTGCTGCTCGTTGAAGGCTGCTGCTCGTTGAAGGCTGCTCGTTGAAGGCTCCAAGCGGATTCGCAGTTCGAAGTCTGCACAGAGACAGGAACGTTGGATGAGTGACATGTTAAGTATAAAACGAAGCATATTGCTGAAATTGAATGAAAGGGCTGCAACGGGTTAGGGACAAAAGGGCTTACATTGCCTTCCTTGGAGATCCGCCCGCTGCAGCCACGCTGCCTCCCGTGTTGCTTGAAGCTTGTAGATCCGTGTAGAACCGCTCTCGTGTTGCTTGTAGCTTGTAGATCCATGTTGCTTGGCAGCTCTGGTCCTTTGCGTTTGTGGCAGCTCTGGTCCAAAGATCCACATCCTACAGATCCGCCATTAGGATCCGCGCCTTGGCGGTCCGCGCCTTGGCGATCCGCGCCTTGGCGATCCGCGCCTTGGCGATCCGCGCCTTGGCGATCCGCGCCTTGGCGATCCGCGCCTTTGCGATCCGCGCCTTGTCGATCCGCGCCTTGTCGATCCGCGCCTTGTCGATCCGCGCCTTGAATAGAGGATCCGCGCCATGAATATTCGTGAAGCAAACTCTGAACACAAAAAAACAGAAAACAAGTTAGTATAAACAGAAAGGTATAAAACAAGAGAAATGACAACAAAAAAAAACTACAACAAACTTAACACCATTGCTGAAAAGTAGATAGATGGATAGAAGGGTTACATACCTGAGCTGCCGATAAGTTCCGCGCCTTGATGTGAAGAACCGCGCCTTGATGTGAAGAACCGCGCCTTGATGTGAAGAACCGCGCCTTGATGTGAAGAACCGCGCCTTGATGTGAAGAACCGCGCCTTGATGTGAAGAACCGCGCCTTGATGTGAAGAACCGCGCCTTGATGTGAAGAACCGCGCCTTGATGTGAAGTTCTTAAGAGAAGAACCGCGCCTTGAAGATTCAAGGAGCAAACTCTGAAAAGCATGGGAGAGAAAAGAAAACTAGTTAACAGAAAACCGAAAAGCACAAAACAAGAGAAAATGACAAGTCAAACTTTACGATGCACCATTGCTGAAAAGTAGATAGAAGCCGCGGATACATACCCGAGCGGCCGTGAAGATCCTCTCCTTGAAGCTGCCGTGTAGATCCGCTTCCTTGAAAATAGGCGCCTTGAAGAGAAGAACAGCGCCTTAAAGAGAGGATCCGCGCCTTGAAGTTCTGAAAAGCAAGGGAGAAAAAAGAAACAACAGCACGAAGTTAGTAAAGAGAAAACCGAAACGAATAAAACAAGAGAAAATGACAAACAGAACGACACGGTAAAACGATGGATCGGTCGTGACGCTCGGGGTGCAGCCTGCAGAGGGAGGATCTATTCTACCCGAGCCCATACCCAACCCGCGGAGGATCATCTGCCAGCTGCAACCTCCGCGACAGAGGACCGGTGAGAACGTCGATAACAACAAATGGCGGATTGGCGGATTTCACATTGAAACGAAACAACAAATAAAGCGATGAAAGGAGGGAACGGGGAAGAGAACGGCACTTCCCAGTCCGTCTTCGTTGGCACAGAAGCAGCAGCACGTCCCACGTCCGTCGCACGCCAGTCACGGGAAAGGTTGAGCTGCATATCGGTCGGATCAGGTGCCATTGTTGCTCTTGGACTGGCGGACGGCCAAGGTGATTGAGCCTGCAAGAATTAAAACAGAAAAAAGTCAGAACTTGATCAGATCAAAACATCTGAAAAAAAGGATGTGCAAAACGACCACGAAGTCAAATAAACATGAATTATAGGTTGCTTACCTCTAGAGTTTACGGTAGGCTGGGCGGATGGTGGTGTGAGGACGGCGAATTAAAGTAGGCGTCGAGGGCGAATGGTGGCGGAACTCCATGAGCAGCTCGGCTTGTTCAGAGGCTTGAAAGTGGAGAGCAGCACCTCGGCGGTTTGGCCATTGGACTTGAACGCTTGTTGAACCTGCAAATATACAAACCACAAAGAGTCAGAACACGAAAAACATTGAAGGCAAGAACGCTCAATAGATGAAATGCGTGAAAAAAAACAAAAAACAAAAGCCATAACAACTTGAAGCTTACCTCTGGAGATCTAAAGGCAGGCTGGGCGGAGGGCGGTTTCGGGATGGAGGCGGGTTGCTGGTTGGCGACGGGGGCGAATGGCGGTGAACGATCTCCAGGGTCGAATGGCGGGTTGCTGGTTCACGATGGGGGCGAATGATGGTCGTTGATGAAGACTTTGTCAAAAGCTTGTTGATGAAGTCTGAAGACTTGGTCAAAAGCTGCGTTTCAGCAGCTCAGTTGTTCAGAGGCTTAGTATCATGAAGACGTTGTCAAAGGAACGGTGGTTTACAGAACAGATCAGAATGAGGATTGAGGAGGCTCTACGCCTAGTCGTATTGGGAAGAGGAGGGTTGAACTTGGTAGATTTTGGCTGCCTAGAGCGCCGCTAGACTTTCGCGGCTATTTTTTGGCCGTCCTAAGGTGAGTCTGTGAGCAACGTTGGGGCATGGGGAGGATGGAGCAGACGATAGATTGGAGCACTGCGGTCCGTAAGCCACTACAGTGAGCGGCGGATTGCAGAAACCCTAGGGTGTGGTGGTGTGGTCACCACCATCAGTTGTTTTCTGTCAAAAATACTTTTGTTTTAGGTAAGCAGATCGCATGCAATTTTATAACTCAATTTCAAAAACTGCTGCTTATAATCCTCACGATTTATTTGCTTTCATCGGTCCATAATTACGAGACCGAAACTTATTGATCGCTGCCCATGTGAGACTTTCGCGCTTCGATATATCCGAACGCTTGTGGAAGGCGATGGTTGGGTTGAGCAGTGCAGTTTTGAGCTGTCAGAGAACTACAGTGGGCGGCGATAGCTGCAATCCCTCCCGCCCAGGGGGCATGGTGCACCACCAGTGGCTAGGCAAGAACAATGTTTAGGGTAAAGAGAAAGGTGTATGCCTTGTTTTCCAGAAACATTCTGTTGCTCCGTTGCTTATAAATGATCTCGCATTCCACGCCCATTTTTTACCACGTCCAGTTTCCGTGAATGCAAATTGTGGTTGCGATCCTTAGAAGCATGCTGCCCAGCTGAAGCTTCATATGTTTCACGATTCCCAAATGTCTGTGAGGCGAGATTTGTGCCATTCCACAGCGCATCTTTCCGCACAAACCACACATCCGACCGAGGCGCGCTGCCTGTCGATGTGGACGGAAATGCGGGAAAGATAGCTCTGAAATCTTCGCCGACACTGTTTGGTGACGTCACAACCGGACAAACGTCGCCAACGGAACGGAACCATCGCCATGACACTGCAGCAATTCGAGCGAAGCTGCCTTGGGTTGGATAAGGGCAATTGAGCGACCATATCGCTCAGTTGCGCGCCAAACCATCCGGCAGAAGCAAGATGCTCGGCGCGGCAGAGCATCTTCTTGGCGGTTCCGCGGGGCAGAGTATCTTGGCAGCGACACGCTGGAAGAAGCAAGATGCTCAAGCTCGAGGTTTGCCACATCAGCCTCGAAATACACTTTCGATCCATCCTCCGATGTCGTTTCGCGCCTGTGCCTCGCAATGCACACACATACCCGTTATCCACACCCTGTGTTATTATCAGGATTGATTTCTCCATATAGGTAACAAGTGCATATTCTCACCATGACTTAACTGAGTCATCATCCCATTGTTTGAAATGGCTTTTATAAGCTAGACAGACAGTGTTTCAACCAATTTCAACCTGCTCCAGTGTTTGCCATCTAACCAAGTGAATCTCCAAGAAATAACAAATGCAGTCATTGTTCAATAATCAGCCAATTAACAATCGAAGCGTCAAACTGCACCAACATGTTACCGTATCTCTGCTGTAGCAAAATGTGGAGCTCAAGATTCAGCTCTGGGGTAGATCAACAAGTAGGTATACTGCGCAGCGCAGCACCAAGCAGTGATCCGTCGAGCAATGTAGCACATGTTGGCCGCCTCCTGCCGTCACTGCAACTGCTGCAGCGCATCACTGGGCAGTGGAGAACAATTTGTCCGCCCTGGCAGTGGAGAACAATATGTCTGCCCCCTCCTCCTGTCACTGCAGTTCTGCAGCGCATCAATGGGCAGTGGAGCAAAATTTGTCAGCCCCCTCCTCATGTCGTTGCAGCTGCTGCAGCGCAGTGCTACGTGCCAGAGGCAGTGCTACGTGCCAGAGGCAGTGCTACGTGCCAGAGGCAGTGCGACGCTGCAGAGGCAGTGCGACGCGTCAGAGGCAGTGCTACGAGGCAGAGGCAGTGCGACGCGGCAGAGGCTGCCGCCTCTCTGCCCCCACTGCCAATTCAGCACCCTTGCCCGCCGACCCCTCACCGCTCCAAGCTCGTTCTCAATCCACCAGCCGTCTGCACCCTAGCGCGCCCTCTCACCGCCCGTGTGCAACTCCCACCTGCACTCTCACCTCAGTTCTATCTCTCACACTCACTCTCATACTCATTCTCGCACTCTCACCCTCACCCTCAAATTCGCCCCCACTCTCACTCCCATCCTCGAGCACGAGGCGCCTGTGCCTGGCACCGGGCATGGCGGCAGGCAAGGGCGAGGGCGGGGGCTGAACGAGGTAGTCACTGAGCAACGATGCCAAGGCATTTGACGTCGTCCTGCTGGGAGGCTCTGAGTGGCACCTCCACAAGCCCGTGGGCGCCATGCGCGAGCATGACGGAGAGCAGCAGCTGCGAGGCGCGCACTGCAGGCTGCCTCGCTGCTGCTGCCGCCTTGCGCGGCCACAACTGCAGCAGCACTGGCAGCAGTAACCGCGACGCTGCCACCTGCACAGGGATGACAGGGAGGGACTCGGGGAGAGGGGGCGAACGGGGAAGAGTGAGTGAGGGAGGAGTGAGGTGCCACAGCGAAAGACTGTCAAAGAAAATGATGCCACCAGAAAAAGGCAGTAGTTGGATGCTAGTTTGGGGTGGGTGGCATGGGTGGTGTGCCTTGCAGACTGGCAGCACGGCCACGGCGGTTGAACGGCTCTGCTAGCATTTGACGTGTCCTGTGAGGCACGAGTGAGGGGAGAGGGGGGTGTGGGGGAGATGACGAGGGAAGGACGGCTTACGGAGTACACACACCCAATGAGCATACCCAGAGGTATTACAAGCCAGGGAAACCTCGTACAGGTACACCTGCACAGGTACACCTGCACAGGTACACCTGCACAGGTACACCTGCACAGGTACACCTGCACAGGTACACCTGCACATGTACACCTGCACAGGTACACCTGCACATGTACACCTGCACCACTCGCTCCACCCTGTCCTCCGCTCCGCGCTCAGCGCCCCTCCCCGCGCCCCCGCACGCGACCGCCAGCAGCAGCTTGCACAGCCCCTCGCACAGCACGCCCACCGCGCACCATGCCCACCACGCCCACCACGCCCTCCGCTTCCCCCTCGTCCTCCCCCTCCGCCTGTCGCCCTACGCGCTCTACATCCTCCCTCGCCGCCTCAACGTCCACCTGCCAGCCCGTCAGCGGCACCAGCCCCAGCAATACGTCCACGCGCCCCTCCGCAACCGCTCGCCCTCCCCCACGCGCCCCTCCTGCGCGCTGCGCCTCTCCCCCGGCACTGCATCCGCTCACCGCACTCCCCTCGCCCTCGTCGCAGAGGCCCGGCGCAGCGACGTCGGGCAGCAGCGCGGCGGAACGGTGCCAGAGCGGGGCGGAGCGGTGCGAGAAGGTCCGCCAGGGCGCGCACGGCCACCATCTGCACGCCGCGGTGCGCGGACTCGCGCGCGGCGGCGTGCAGCAGGGGGAGGTGGGAGCGCGTGGATGGCGCATGCAGGGAGGCGAAGGCGTGGAACGCGGCGACGGCCTCCGCGCGCACCAGAGGCGACGGGTGAGCTGCCAGCCGGCACAGACAGTGGGAGGTGAAGGGGGATAAGCATACGGGTGACGGTACGGGCGCAGTGCAGCGAATGCGCAGAGACCACCGTGTTGGCGAATGCTTGAGGGCAAGCGGAGTGAGGCCGTGAGGGCAGCGCGCGCGCGTACCGCGGGGACGAAAATGCAGTTGAGCGCCTCCTGCGGCTCCACGCGCAGGTTCCTCCACGCGCTGGACGCGCCGCCGCCTGCCGATTTGCAGCACAGCCGCAGCAGAGCCAGACGTCAGCCAGAGCGTCCACGAGAGCAGCGCGCACGTCAGCATCCGACGCGTGCACGCGCTGCGCCAGCCCCAGCAGAGCCCGCCCCTGCGCGCGCTGGCTGCGCGCCGACGAGGTGGCGGTGCACGAGCGCGGCGGCGTGCGCGCGGATGGTGGCGTCGGTGAAGTGGAGCACCGCCGCCAGCTGCATCAGCTGCCGCGCCGCGAACCGACCCTCCGACCCTGCGAGAGCTACAAGCAAGTTTTAGCATGGCGCTTGCGTGAAATGTACCTGTCGTTGGTGCAAATAGCCTGTAAGGTTAGCCTCGTACCTGCTTGCATGTGCGTTTCCAGCAGCGCCAGGTAGTCCTGCCGAGAACTCGCGGACGATCAGGATGGCGTCGGCTGAAAGGCTGAAGCTGCCGGGCTAAACGAATTCAGCACCTGTGAGGGGTACAAGCGCTTAATATTACATGACACGCTGAGAACAAGACCCGAAACGCTTCGGTAAAGACCTGATGCGCTTAAATTAAGACCTGAAACGCGTGGGAGAAGACCATAATAAGTTCCGCGAGTGCATCTGGAGCGGAAAGGGAGAGTGTGGATACCTCCGAGAGCACTCTTGGCGTTGACCCTGACGGCCTTGCTGCACGCGTCGCTGTACTGCGAGAAGACACACAGCAGCTCTTCCATCATATCCCTCGCGTCCTCGCTGGCCTTCGCAACCAGCGCGCCCAGAAACGTCTTGAAGAATCAAATCACCGTGTCGCCAGGGCTGCCAGCTGTCGGGCTGAGGAGAGTGGGTCAAATGAAATCAAGAAATGCCGGCGAGAATCCGCGTTTCGGTGTTGGCGAGAACACCGGAGGAAAAGCAAACTGTTTCTATGGTGAGACGCGACTGACTCCTGACACTCGTTCAAAGCTCTCGAAGTAAGCGACGCTGGTGGGTCTACAGCTCTCCTACTTCCTAACTGCATGCTTCCTGTTGCTTTCGTCACAAGCTGCGAGCTTCGAAGGTATACCTCAAAAACTAACTAACGACCAGCATATTCTGACATATGGCTATGGTATGCAAGGACTGGAGAGGAGAAAGCTGAGAGCTTGAAGGAGTGAAGAGTTGGAATCTGGATTTTGGAAGGAGATACAGGTGGATGACTGAGCGATGACCACCTAGCAGAGGAGAGAGGCGGGAGGGACCTTGGGATTGGCCGAGTGATGCACCCTGCCCCTGACACTTCAAATTCTGAAGCTCTGGCTGCCATCGGGGATTCCCACAAGAGCTAAAGAATGCAGTACTACAGTAAAACGGGGAAGACCGTACTATATTTGCCAATACCGAGGCCGTTGCCAATATGAACCAGCTCTCAGCTCTATAACTGACAGCACCATATAATATTGAAGAAACAGTTTATGAATGAATACTTTAAGTATGCTGGCAAAAACAGTGATTGACCAACGTCCAGCTGCTAAATATATCTCTCGAAACTTAAAACAAAAAAAAAATATTAAAATCTACGATCAACTATGTTAAGAGGTAAGGTTTCAGCAGTCTTATGATTCAAACCAGTTTATGACAGTTCATCATCATGCAGCTGCGCCAACGCATGCCATTTCCTGCAAGATGTGCAGGCTCCAGGCCCTCTTGCATGCAGCAACCAATGCTATACGTGGTGAGCTGGTAGGGTATATGTGTTCTCCTCATGTTCCATGGTGAAACTCAAGGCTCCATTGGCTTGGACCAAGTCACAGTCTGAGAATGTCATGATAAGCTGGCAAGCATTGCCCCACACAAATTATGTACAGTAAAACAAGCATTTCCCACTATGTACACATCTCTCCCCTCCCCTTCTTCCCCCCCATATAAACAATAATCACAGAAAGCTCATCCTACCGGTAATCCTAATAACCCTCCATTCAAACCTCATACCACCACTGCCTCTCCAATCACCACACCCTCTCCCTCCGCCTCCCCCACCACCCTCCTCCTCTTCCCTCCTCCCTCTCCCCCCACAAGCCCCACAGCAGAAGCAGCATGCAGCAGCTGTGTCCAGCGCTGCTCCTCACTCACTGTATACCCCACTGACATGCGCACCAACCCAGGAGAAATCCCCACGGCCTGCTGCTGCTCTGCACGCATCTCACTGCTGGTGCTGGCGCCGCTGCAGGAGACGAGGGAGTCGTGAAACCCGAGGGACACCGCCATGTATCCAAACTCGGCATTGTTCTGCAGGTGCCGCATGAAGTCGTATGCCATGGCGGTGCTCCCAAGGTCCAGGCTCAGCATACCTCCACCTGCATACGGCCCCACCCACTCTGCCCCACCACTCTCTCCTCCCACTCCCCCACCACCAGCAACACCACCAGCAGAAGCGAGGAGGTGCGGGCGGGAACCATTGGAGATGCGTGCAAGGACGTGTGCCTGGGGGTGTGAGGGCAGGCCGGGGTAGCACACGGGCAGGCCCAGCGCGTGCAGGCGCGAGGCGAAGAGCAGCGCTCGCCGGCCGTGCTCCCTCATGCGCAGTGGCAGGTGCGGCAGGCGGGCCGAGAGGTTGAATGCCACCTGTGGGTTCATGGTGGCACCCTGGGAGGGGAGGAGGGGGGGGGGGGAAGAGGAAGGGGGGACAAGGGTCAGGCACAGTTAATCAAGAATTATGACATGACTTGGCTGTGAGAAATCCGTGATAGCTGCGGGGTATTGAAAAAGCAAGTGGGTGCAAGAGCGCCTGCACGTGCGTCTGTATGTGCGCCTGAGTATATGCCTTTGTGCATGCATGCCTTTGGGCAGCAGAGAGACAGACGGTTAGGCAGGACGAAGTAAATCGAGAATTGGCATCACATGACATGGTCGTGAGAGTTCCGCAATACTGCGTGCAATTACACGTGTGAGTGAAAGCAGGTGCAAGTATGAGTGTGTGTGAGCGACCCACCAGCAGCATGAGCGAGCCGGAGGTGAGGCTCATGAGCGATGCGATGAAGGCAGCTGAGCCGCACACGCACCCTGCTATCACGTCCGACGCTCCTGATGAGTGGGAGGGCCGTAATGGGGTACACAGCGTGAGATATTACTATGCACAGAAACCAAACAAACACACTGTTCATAACGAGAGAAGCCGGCCAAAGCATGTGTCCCAGACGAAGAAATGCATCAGCGCGACCTCCGTCCGCGCTCACCGCTGATGAACTTGCTGAGGCTGTGCACGACAACATCCGCGCCGTGCTTGGCGGGCGACACGAGCACGGGCGCGAACGTGTTATCCACCACCACCGCCGCGCCGTGCCTGTGCGCCGCCGCCGCCAGCGCCGGCACGTCCGCCACCACGAGCGTGGGGTTCGAAATTGTTGGAAGGAAACGGTGGTGGGGCGGTGGTATGCCCCCAACCCACCGAGGGCACTTCGGTGCCTTCGATCCCTTTGACTAGGGATCGGTGGGGTGGCACCGATTGACTTCGGGAGACTCACCCTTCGGTGCCACGTGGCGGCACCACATTCCAACCTTCAAGTGCAAGGCGAATTCGGTGTGTTCGGTGTGAAATTCGGTGGTCGAATTTCACCCCAACCGAAATGTTACACACGGCGCATTCGCGACGCGAGTGTAGCGATGTGATGTTACATGTGCGGTTCGATGTAATGCATTTGCTATAAATCGACCTGCCTTGTATGCATGCCATATACTGAAATCATGAATCTTCTTGTACATGGTCCATTCGAACCAAAATTCCAGAGAGGTCTATCCTTGCTTCTAAGAGCACTAGCAATCACGTGAACGCCAATATCTCGGCGTATACTTGGGCGATTAACGTGTTTGACGGCTTGTTGGAAAGCCAAGACTGTGCTCTATCGTTTAGTGCAACTTAGAGTTCCTGCAAAGTAGAGGAGACGCCTCTACAACAGTGGTATCAGAGCTGGTCGGTAGAGTCTACGTGCGCGACTTGTAGCAAGCATGATGACGTCAAGCGAAACCTCCGGCACTTCCTTAGGTGGTGTCGTCTCGAATCCCGGCGAACCCTGGACAAACGCGACGGTGTTCGACACGTCGGCGGTTCCGATTTTCACGGGACAAAACTACTCCGCGTGGAAATTTAAGTTCCAAGTGCTCATGATGGAGCGGGGACTTTGGGGTCTCTTCGACGGAACGGAGAAAAAGCCGGTCGACGAGGACGAGATCGCGGCATGGAAGAAGAAGGACCAAAAGGCGTTCGCAACGTTGATTTCGCGCATCGGCATCAACCTCGTGAGTTCGGTGCGCACGTGCATCAAGCTCGAAGCTTCGGCGCGTGAAGCATGGAAGCGGCTCGAGACGATGCACGTGAACAAGACTCTCCACGGCAAGATCCTAGCCCGAAATGCGTTCTACACGGTGAAGTTGCGCGCGGGCGAATCGATGCACGAGTATGCGACTCGTGTGGAGGAACTCGGGGAAACGTTCATGGACCTCGGTGGAACGGTCACGGAGGAGGATTGGATTCTCACCTTGCTTTGCGGCCTTCTGGAAGAGTGGTCGACGGTGATTACGACACTCGATAGCGTGCAAAACACTTGGACGAAGGAAATGGTGGTCGGTCGGCTTCTCCATGAAGAATCGCGACGCCGACAATTCGCTAACGAGAGCGTGGAGACCGCCATGTTCTCCGGAGGGAGCTCCGGAAAGAAGTCCAAGTGGAGCAACGGTGAGGCAAAGAAGTCGTCCGTTGGAAACGGTCGCGGCAAGGGCAACGCATCGAACGGTTCGAGCAAGTGTCATTATTGTCGCAAAGCGGGGCACTTTTGGCGTGAATGTCGGAAGCGGCCGAGCGATTGGATTCCATCGAAGGCGCGGAACCAAGAGGGCAACGCGCACACGGCATCCGGCGAGGCGGATGATTCAACGGAGTCGCTCGTTTTGTTGGCCGGTGACGGGATCAACACTTAAAACGACGCGTGGTTCCTCGACACCGGTGCAACACAACACATGACGCACTCGGCGTCGCTCCTCAACAACGTCGGTGCTCCGGGAGACGTCAAGCGCGTCGTCTTCGGGAACGATAAATCGCTACCGGTGGTTGGAGTTGAGAGTACACGTCTCATCGTCGATGGCGGGCCGGTGGACATCACGAACGTGCTTCACGTCCCGGGATTGAAGGTGAATCTACTCTCCGTCACTCAACTCGCAAAGAAAGACGTGAAGGTCACCATCGATGGCGCGAAGATGAACCTCTTTTGGAAGGGGAAGCAATTCGCGCAAGGCGTTCTCAACGGACAACTCTACCAACTCAAGACGCATCCGACAACGGCCTCATCCAACGTGGCGCAAGGCTCCAAGGCGACTCTCAAAATGTGGCATAATCGGCTTGCGCACGCCAACTACGACTCGGTCAAAGAGTTGGCCAACAAAGGACTTGCGAAGGGATTTGACGTGATCGCCGGCAACGACGAGAAGGGCGTGTGCGCGGCGTGTGTCGAAGGAAAAATGGCTCGCAAGCCATTTGGTAGCCGTACCTCACCCCTCGCAAAGGACCCGCTTGCGCTTGTTCACATGGACGTGTGTGGACCGATGCGGCATGCATCAAAGGGAGGAGCGCGGTTCCTCTTAGTGATGCTCGACGACGCGACGCGGATGAGTTGGACCCGACTCTTGAAGGCTAAGGGAGATGCGGCCAAGGCGATTCAAGAGTGGGCGCTCGACGTTTGCGACGACGGCAAGAAGCGGATCAAGTGCATTCGCACCGACGGTGGCGGCGAATTCGTGAGCAACGAGCTTGAAAAATGGATGAAAAGCAAGGGCATTAAGCACGACGTCACGACACCCTACACACCCCAACAAAATGGAGCGGTAGAGCGGCTCAATCGCACATTGATGGAGGCCGTTCGTTCACTTCTTCAACACTCCAAGCTTGGGAACGAGTGGTGGGGAGAGGCGAGTGCGCTAGCGGCATGGATTCGTAATCGTGTGCCAACAAAGGTGCTACCGGGAAAGACTCCGTTCGAAGCATGGACCGGAACGAAGCCGAACCTATACCGCCTACGCACCTTTGGGTGCCTTTGCTACTACCATGTACCGGATCCACTTCGCCACAAGTTGCAACCGAAAGCTCGTGCGGCGATCTACTTGGGGATTGCGGCGAACGAGCGTGCATGGCGAGTGTGGGATTTGGATGAAAAACGCGTCGTCACGTCTCGGGATGTGATCTTCGACGAAGACAAGTTCCCGACAAAGGAGAAACAAACGCCGCAACTCACCGTCGTCCTTCCCGCAGGAGAGGAGGATGAAGCGGTGGAGGTTTCACCGCACGTGAAGAAGGGAGCCGAAAGTGGAGGGGGAGAGAACGAGGAGTGCGATGATGATGTCGAGGAGGTGCCACCAACCGAGGAGGCCACTTCCTCCGCACCTTCTTCCCTACCATTGGCGTTGACTCGCGGGCGTCGTACACCTCGCCCCAACACGAGGTTAACCGACTATGCTACGGTCGCCGTTGGGGAGTCGGATGAGGAGAGTGCGGCGATTTGCCTAGCGACCATCGGCGACGATAACCCACGCACTCACAAGGAGGCTTTGGCTTCCCCGGATGCACCGCTATGGAAGCAAGCGATGGAGAGGGAGTTAGCATCGATCAAGGAGAACGATGTTTTCGAGCTCGTCGACCCGCCGAAGGGTGCCTACTTGGTGGGATGCAAGTGGGTGCTTAGGAAGAAATTGGGAGCCGATGGAGGTGTCGAACGCTACAAGGCGCGGCTTGTGGCGCAAGGGTACACTCAACGGGAGGGGGAGCACTATAGTGAGACCTTCGCTCCCGTTTCGAAGGCCTCCACTCTTCGGGTGTTGCTCGCGCTAGCGGCATCTCTCAACCTCGAGGTGGAACAATTGGACGTTTGCACCGCCTTCCTCTACGGGCTTCTCATGGAAGAAGTCTACATGCGGCAACCCCCGGGGTACGATGACGGTAGCGGTCGGGTGTGGAAGCTCAAGCGTACCCTCTATGGCTTGAAGCAAAGCCCACGCGGATGGTACAAGCGCATCGACGACTTTCTTCTTCAACACGGCTTCGCGCGTAGCGTGTGTGATAGCGCTTTGTACGTGTTGAAGGAGGGGGAGAAGCAATTGGTGCTTTTGCTCTACGTCGATGACCTCTTTCTTTTCTCCGACTCCAAAGACCTCGTTCGAGAGGTCAAGCAACGGCTAGGGGCGGAGTTTGCCATGAGGGACTTGGGACCGGTGACGTACTACCTCGGGATGCACGTCGACCGCGACCGCGCGAACGGGACCATTCACCTCCACCAAGAAAAATATGTGAAAGGGGTTGTGGAGCGCTTCGGCATGGGTAATAGCAACCCGGTGGGGACGCCACTAGACACGGGATTTTCTTGCCTCCCGGGAGAGGAAGAATCCGCCCTCGACGAAGCCGAAGGGAAGCGGTTTCATTCGCTAGTCGGCTCACTCATGTATGCCGCCGTTTCCACCCGTCCCGACCTCTCATACGCCGCCGGGGTACTTGGACGAGCCGTAAGCAACCCTCATACCGAGCATGTGCGTGCGGGAGGACGTGTTCTACGCTACCTCCAAGGCACACCCAACTTGGGAATCGTATATGAAGCCGGTCCAATCGTGCTTAAGGGCTACACCGACTCGGATTATGCCGGTGATCAAAGCAAGCGCAAGAGTACCGGCGGGTACGTCTTCACCTTGCTTGGGGGAGCCGTGAGTTGGCAAAGCAAGTTGCAACCAACCGTGGCTCTAAGCACAACGGAAGCGGAGTATATGGCACTCACTCAAGGAGCCATGGAGGCAATATGGCTACGGCGCCTTCTAGCGGAGCTTGGGCATCCTCAAGCCGACCCAACTCCTCTCTTTTGTGACAACCAAGCGGCCATAAACCTCACTCACAATGCCGTCCTTCACGGGCGTACCAAGCACATTGAGGTGAAGCATCACTTCATTCGTGAGGTGGTCGAGAGAGGTGAGGTCAAGGTCACATACATAAGCACCAAGGCGCAACCCGCGGATTTCCTCACTAAACCACTCCCTAAGGATTCATTCCGTGCATGCCGTGAGCGTGTTGGTATGAACACCTAGTGGCTTGGGTGCAAGGGGGAGTGTTGGAAGGAAACGGTGGTGGGGCGGTGGTATGCCCCCAACCCACCGAGGGCACTTCGGTGCCTTCGATCCCTTTGACTAGGGATCGGTGGGGTGGCACCGATTGACTTCGGGAGACTCACCCTTCGGTGCCACGTGGCGGCACCACATTCCAACCTTCAAGTGCAAGGCGAATTCGGTGTGTTCGGTGTGAAATTCGGTGGTCGAATTTCACCCCAACCGAAATGTTACACACGGCGCATTCGCGACGCGAGTGTAGCGATGTGATGTTACATGTGCGGTTCGATGTAATGCATTTGCTATAAATCGACCTGCCTTGTATGCATGCCATATACTGAAATCCTGAATCTTCTTGTACATGGTCCATTCGAACCAAAATTCCAGAGAGGTCTATCCTTGCTTCTAAGAGCACTAGCAATCACGTGAACGCCAATATCTCGGCGTATACTTGGGCGATTAACGTGTTTGACGGCTTGTTGGAAAGCCAAGACTGTGCTCTATCGTTTAGTGCAACTTAGAGTTCTTGCAAAGTAGAGGAGACGCCTCTACAACAGAAATCGTCTCGAAGAACAGCACCCGCGCCGGCCCCGCGCGCGCCCGTTGTCGCCGCGGCGCGCCTGTGGGAGCAGATGGCGCGTCATCCCCGCCATCCCCGCCTGGCGGAAGTGAAGTGGTGCATACGCCGCTGGCGGTCTGATCATCAGTAGACTCCTCTGCGATGGGTCGCACGGCGGCGGCCGCGCCTGGTGCTGTGCTGCCGACGAGTTCGCATGTTGGGCCCACGTCGTCCCCGCTAAGAGCCGCCTCTACTGCGGCGAGGTCGGTGATGTCGACGAAGGTGGTGCGGATGCCCGCCATGCGCGGGAGGAAGCAGTCCAGGAACGCGAACGTGCCGCCGTACAGCCTGACGAAAAACAGACCCAGAGATTAGAACGCGCCGACGTGCTGTGATGGAATCAAAGAACCATCTAAGACAAAACAAAGTCAAAGACGGCGATTCGAAAGAAACGAGGAATAATTACCTGTTTGACGCGACGATGCGGTCGCCGTGCTTGCACAGCTGCAGCACGGCAGCGGAGATCGCGGCCATGCCGCTGGCCGTGCAGTACGCCGACTCCGTGCCCTCGAGCGCCGCGAGCTGCCGGCCCAGCGCCATGACCGTTGGGTTGAAGTGCCGGCTGTACACGAAGAAGTCGTTATCCGGCCCCAGCTGCCCCGTGAATATCTTCGCCATGCTCTCCGGCTCCATCACCGTGAACGTCGCGCTGTTCTCGATCGACATGTTCACGCCGCCATGCTCGCCGAACTCGTGACGGATGCTCGCGAGGGAGGTGACGGGATCCCAGGATCCGTCGGTGTAGTCCCCGGCGGTGTTTCCAGTGGCTCTGGCCCACGCGGCGCCGGATTCGGCGAGCTTTCGCTTGCCTCCCGCCGCAAGAAGCGCGCTCTGCTCCGCGAAATTGCTGTCGCACGCATCGTGTGCTACGCACGTGGTCGCAGGAGGCAAACCAAGTGTAGAGGTCGGATTCTTGCCATTCTCTACGACGCAGGAGCCCCCTCCGCTCGCAGAGCACGAGTTGAGCTTAGGAACCGAGATATTCTCCTCACCAATCATCGCCAGAACGTGATCATCCATGAGACTTGCCGTAGTCTCTTTCTCGACTGCCAATTCCGGACTCATGATGCCTGTGATATCCACCACGGTTTATCCACAAGCCGTCAGTGGGAGTCCCTGGACGGATTTCAGCACTGCTGACGGGTGCGTGCACCTTGGTATATCCGAAGCGGAACCTTCAAAAACACGCTTGAGCAAGGTGAGTCAAAATGCGTGTAGGTCGTAGTATCAAGTGAGGTGAGTTGTGACGTGACGGCTTGCTCTCACACTCGATGCATGCAGTGAGGAGCAGCGACAGAGGGGATGCTGGCGAGACAGATTAGTGTGGATGTTGTTGCAATTGCAGGGAGGTCAACCCCAACCCAATTTCTATGTGGATCAAATGCGCGATGCGTAGGGCACATGCGACTAACTCTCAAGGGCTCTCCCCTTGTTTCCAGTTCTTGGCTGAATTGAAGTGTCGGTTCAGCAGTTGGGCGGTTAGCCGTCAATTGGAATGCAAAGCGCTAATAGGAATGTGGAGATTGTTTGAATTCGAATGACTTGTCCAAATACGTCCTGTGGTTGCGAGGATTCACCGCATGCAGTCATCCAAGACGTTCACGAGGTGACTCGATACAGAACAAACCCTAGCTGCAAAATGACCCCTCAAGTATGAGATATCACTAACATCTGGTACACTTTGAGGTCCCACAGTTGTTATCACAGAAAATTCCAAGCTAAATTGAGAAATCAGCTTGCCCTGCACTGTTATCCAGCACATAAAAAATCTCAATCGCTAAAAAAAACAACAAACCGACGGAATAGCCTGAATGATGTGTTGTTTTCATTGATTGTAAGCAGTGTTTCACTGAAACATGGACATACATGAAGGAGATCACGCATGTACCAATAGTACAGTCTTATAGTCTAGGCACAAACAGAATTGACTCAAATTGCTAATGGTAGTGCGTAGTTCTATTCCCGTAACGCGGATGGCGTAAGGCTCACCCCAAAATGCTCACAAAATTGTCCCCCCCTCTTTCTGATACTTCTGACTGACCCCATTCAGTCCAGTTCCTCAACCAGGCATTTCAGGCATTACAGCCTTCACAGCCATTCCAGGTTTAGGCAATATCCACAAGGAATGTGGTCAGGAAAATAATGTGAGAGCAGCATCAAGGCGTCTGAACATTCCAACAGCGCCGCGCAAGGAAAGCAGCAGTAGGTTCTCGTCTGAGCGTACTCACACCGAGCAAGAATGCAGAAAGGGGACATTCGTCGCTGGTTCGGAAAAAAAACGTCAACTCCAGTATCTGAGGCTGAGAAGAAGAAGGTAAAGCTTAAATCATCAGTTCGGCCGTGGCGTTTGTTGCACACGTAGCTAATCTTCTTTTCGTCATTATGTTTAGGAAACGGATGTCGTACCTGCAACTTCGGCTTCTCCGTTGAAGTCCCCGTCAAGCTCTATCCTGCGTAAAGGGTCTCATGCTCCGACTCCCACGAAAACGAGCGAGCCTCTGAAGAAGCCGGAACGAGCAAGCGCATTACAGAAGGCATCAGCTGCTAAGGATGAGCCTAAACGAGGAGTTAAGGCCGTCAAAGCCTCTTCAACGCCTTCTAAGAAGCCAAGGAAAAGGTCCATGATCGTAGATGATGACGAAGATGATGAGGAAGACGACAATGAAGATGATGCGGATTTCGATGTTGGTAAGGATTCAGGCAGTCAAGATGCTGATGAGGAGGATGAGGACGAATCAGACGAGGAGGAGGAAGAAGAGGAGAAGCCAGCTGGAAAGCGGAAGCGGGGTAAGGCCGCACCTACCGCAAAGAAGGCTACGCCGTCGAAGGTTCAGCCTGCACCTGCTGCTGTGGCGAAGGATTCCGGTGGTCGCGGAATGGGAGGAGGAGGTGGGGGTAGAGGTGGTGGTGAGGCTGGAGGGGGTCGAGGTGGGGGTGGAGGCCGAGGAAGAGGCTGGGGAGGCAGAGGTGGCTTCTTCGGGGAAAGATCCGCTCCCCCACACAAAGGAGAGAAGGTATGCTGCATTTAGCAAGTCAATGCTCGTCTTTTTTTTACAAGGTAGGTGCTGACTTGTTGTTGCTCCTGCAGGAAGTACCTGAAGGTCCTGAGAATGCCTTGACGGGGATCACTTTCGTTATCAGTGGCACTCTTGACAGGTCAGTTGCCTTCCTGACTGTTGCATTCAGCCACGTATTTCCTCTCAGCTTTCTCACGTTAACAATGCCTGACATGCAGTTTGGAGAGGGAGGAGGCTGAGGACTTGATTAAGAGGCATGGTGGTCGGATCACCAGCGCTGTCAGTGGAAAAACGGTGGGTTTGCCTTTCGTTGTTGCTATTCTGGAAGCTCAAGACTTGCTGGAAGTTGTGAGTTGAGCAGTTGTTTCAGCAGACTCCTCTTTGCTGCAATTCCGCCAATGTTTTGCTGCCAACTTATAGCGCTGAAATCAATGCGTCATCAAGCTCCATCAGGGAGAATGCTGTTGAGACTGCCGTGAAATGTTGGGGAATGCGTGCCTGCTCTAGTCAGCAATCCGTGGTGGTAAAGCCATGGACCATGCCGTCAGTATCCAAGTATTGGAATGGTCATGGACAGGTCAGGTGTTACCGTTGCAATGTGGAGTAACTTTGAAATTGGAATGTCAGAATCTTAAAATCCTGCTAACTGATTCCTTTTGTTTCCTTCGTGTTCGGATGCAGACCTACCTCCTTGCTGATGAAGATATTGGAGGCAGAAAGTCTACCAAGGCAAAAGAGCTCGGGTAACGCAGTCCACCAAAAATGTTTCATTGCCGTTTTCTGTCTTCCATCTGCATTGTGGTTCTCAGCCGAATGGCATTGCGCCTGTGCACTGCTGGTGCCGCTGCTGCAGGGTGAAGTTCCTCACAGAGGATGGCCTTTTCGACCTCATCCGTGCTGCAGCAAAGAAGCAGCCACCTGCACCAGCGAAGTCACCCCCGGCTAAACAGCCTCTGGGTGCAGGTGCTGTTATTCTTATATGCCGTCTGCTGTACGGGTGCTTAGGCTAAACAGGAAAGTTCAAACACTTATGCCGCTTACTGGTTTTTGCAGATAAGGGTCGCCCTGCTGCTGACGATATCAAGCCCGATGCTGACCGACTCCCGAAGAAGCTCAAGGCCGATGTATTATCTAGTGCAGGAGCCCTAGCAGGCAAGGCGGACGCTGGTGCAGCGAGGCCAGTGGTGGTACCTGCAGCTGCAGCAAGATCGGGACCAGTGGAGGTGGAGTCATGGCCGCAGAAGTACGCTCCCAAGAGCACAGCAGACATCATCGCTAACCAAGGCCTGGTGCGTCATGCTGCTACAGACTGTGCTGTATTCTGTCAGGCTTCATTCTTTTCCTCTGCTGCTGCCTCACTCTCCTCGAATGTGACCCTTCCTCTCCTTCCATGTCCTGCCACACCCTGCAGGTGAAGCAGCTGCATGACTGGCTGACAGGCTGGGAGGCGAGACATCTGGGGCAAGGAGGGGCCAAGAAGGGCAAGAAGGGCGGGAAGGGTGGAGCAGGTGGTGGAGGAGGGGCGGCAGGGGGGGACATGAACAAGAAGGCAGTGCTGCTCAGTGGAGGGCCGGGCATTGGCAAGACCACTACAGCTCGCCTTGTCTGTGCCGCTCTTGGCTTCTCGCCTCTCGAGGTATGCCCTGCTGAAGCTTGCTGTGCTGTGCCTCAGTGAACAAGTAGTTTCCATGCCAAGCAGCTTATATACGGGAAATTGTTTTTACATTAGCTTGCTGGCTGGCTGTGCAGTGACTTGCTCAAGTTGCTTGGTGGGCAGGGCACTTAGGTGTGTGTCACGCATCACTGTTGTTCCACCATCCTCCCTGCCACCAGGTGAACGCGAGTGACTCTCGAGGGAAGTCTGACGCCAAGATCCGCAATGGCATGGGCGGCGCCACGTCCAACACCATTAAGGAGATGATCTCCAACACCACCCTCCGCTTCTCCCCCGTCCCCACCTCCACCAAGTATCATTCCTTGGTCCCTACTATGTTTTACTCACCTTCCTGTCGTGCATGTTTGACTGTTCAGCACATGCGCCCACCTGCGCACAATTGTGAAGTCTCAATATTATGACAACCATACACTGCATTGGTAACCTAACCAGTGTGGGATGTGGGTTGTTGCAGGGGCAAGCAGCAACAGCAGCAGCAGGTGGATAAAGCCGCTCTGATCATGGACGAGGTGGACGGCATGTCGGGGGGCGACAGGGGCGGCGTGGCGGACCTGATAGCGAGCATCAAGGAGAGCCGTGTGCCCATCATCTGCATCTGCAACGACCGGTACAGCCAGAAGCTCAAGAGCCTCATCAACCACTGCCTGCTGCTCAACTACAGGAAGCCCACCAGACAACAGGTCTGTGTCGCAGCCTGCTTTGCGTGGTTGAAGCTGAGGTTTGCACAGTGCACGGCAAGTCCACTGATTCTGCAATTTCATGTGGCGTCTAACACACCGTGTTACTTCCACTCCAGATGGCCAAGAGATTGCGGCAGGTGGCGAACGCTGAGAAGATCCAGATCGCTGATGTAAGTGCCGCAAGCTTGTGCCACTGAACATAGCTTCCTTTTTGCATTAACGCACTTACCTTGTTCTCCTAGCGCATGTACATCCAACAGCATCCAAATTTCTCTCAGATTCCTCAGCCGACGTTTCCTCTGCCTGCAGAATGCCCTGGAGGAGCTAGCGGAGCGCACGGGGGGGGACATGCGGCTGGCGCTGAACCAGCTGCAGTACATGGCGCTGAGCTGCCGGCAGCTGTCGTACCAGGAGGTGAAGCAGCGCATGCAGGCCAACGCCAAGGACGAGGACATCCGCCCCATGGCCGCTGCTGACACGTGCGTGCAGTGGGGGTAATGGGTAGAGGGAGGGGGGGGGAAGGGAGGGGGGTGAGGGGAAGAAGTAGACATGTTGTAAGGCGACTAAGGTGGATGACTGTACTGGGGAGTTTTTAACTCGAGCCGTTCCTTTCAGTGCATTGTTATGATGGGGCGTGCGATTTCCAAGGCCACTGCACAATGCTGTTGTTCCATTGCTCCTATCCCATGCATTGACATTGACTACCCCTTCTCACCCTTTCCTGTGTGCGGCAGACTGATGGGGTACGGTGCGCGTGGCAAGAGGTTGGACATTCTTGTTGATGCAGCCATGTCAGACATCGACCTCATGCCGCTCTTCATCCAGGTGCCACCGCCTCCCACTCTCACCATCACACCATCAGTCTGAGCCTCTGAGCTCGCCCCACCTTGTGACATTTAAACTGCTCCTTGACTGCACCGCACTCAGGCCTCAATTGTGATTCATGCGGCCAGGCCTGTACCATCCGAGCCTCTCCAGTTTGTTTTGTTTGCTTATTCAAAGGGATGTGTTGACTCAACACCTACCTGACTCACCCTGCCTACGATGTCACCCTGTGCAGGAGAATTACCTGAACCACGTGCCTGGAAACGACCCGTCATCTCCTCACCTACTCGCTCGCCTCTCCCAAGCGGCCGATGCCATCTCCAGTGGGGACCTGGTGAACGTGCAAGTGCGCAGATACCAGCAGTGGCAGCACCTGCAGTTCGCTGCTGTCATTTCCTGCATCACTCCGTGAGTTCCCCCATGTCATACTGGCAGGCACCATCTCACTGCACTCCCCACATCTTTACTCCATACTTAGCATTTCTCTGCAGTTTTCATTTGGCCTAAAATCTTTAACCATGTTGGTGTGGTGTGATCTGTCCAGGGGCTTGATGGTCTCCGGGCGAAGGGTCACTCTTCTAGAGGTGAGCCAACTGTGCCCTGTCATGTTTTTCTTTGGAATTGCGCCAGGAACCTACGCATGCAATCCTGCTTGCAATGGTGACCTCACTATGTGCTGAGCATTCTCTGAACAGGGCGAGCGGAACTTCAATCGCTTCCCAGTCTGGCTGGGAAAGAACTCGTCCGTGGGCAAGAACTACCGCTTGCTGGATGACCTGCACCAGCACCTCCTCTCCTCGCATCTGCTTCCCAACCCATCAAGGTATCTAACTCTCCCTCGTCTTGGCATCCGTTCCTGCCCCTCCCTCTTCCACTTCCTACCTTGTTCCTCCCGTCCATCATCATTGCCGTTTGACCTGTACCTTCTATTTCCCTGTGGTGCAGGCAAGTTGTTCGCCTCGACTACTTGGAGCCCCTCGTCTCCTCCCTCACACAGCCTCTGCACAAACACGCACAGGTGTGCATCTCGCATATCCAACCATCCTTCATGGTTGGTAGTGGCCCCTTGTTTTAATATTCCCGCCCCATTCCGCGCCCCCCATTCATCCCACGCACCCCCATCCCTTTCCTTTTCCTCGCTTTCACTTTCTCTCTCCTCGTCTTCCATCTCCCTCGTGCCGTACACGCATCACACGATATCACACACATACGCTCTGCAGGATGGGGTGGAGACGGTGGTAGAGGAGATGCTGGAGTATGGCCTCACACTGGACGACCTTGACACGGCCGTGGAGCTCTCACATTTCAAGGCAAGTGGTTTTATTCCCCCTTTATTGCATCTTACTCTGTTTCATTCCGCTTTCCACCTGACCCGGCCGTTGTCCTGATTCGTTTGCCGCCTCTTCAGTTTTCTGTGTAGCTTCAGTAAATGTTCCACTCTTTCGTGCAACCAGGGTCGATCTGGTCCTATGGAGGGAGTGCCAGCGCCAGTGAAGGCTCGGCTGACACGCGAGTTCAAGAAGGAGCAGCAGGCGCACAAGGCCAAGTCTGCTGCCACCCTACCACCTCTCCAGCTTCCAGGGGGGCGTGGGAAAGCAGGTGGTCGAAGCAAGGCGGCTAAGCCGTCGGGTGGAGGAGGTGTGGATGAGGCTTCTCTTTTGCAGGCTGACACTGATCTTCCTGTGGCTGTTGATGAAGGTGAGCTGCCCCTAACTGCTATTTTCTGTTCGCTGGTTGCATGGTCGGTCGTTAAGCACAGAGGAATCCTTGCCATTCAGGCTAGATGGGTGTTTTGATTGAAATATCTGTACTGGTATTGATAATGCCCCATTCACTTTTGACAGTTGGAACACTGCAAGAAGACGATGATGATGCAGCTGAGGATGCAAGCAGTGAGCATGATGAAGCCGATGAAGGTACTTGCAACCGTACAGTCAGGTCATGTGAACCATTTTTTAAACTCCATGTTCCAGCTCACATAATCGTCTGTATGGTGTACGTTTTGCAGCGGTCCGTTTGCGACTTGTAGGAAAATCTGCAGGCAGCTCAAGCAAGGGGACCACGAAGGGAGGAAGAGGCCGAGGAAGCGGCGGAAGGGCGAGAAAGGGTGCTTCTTAGGGGAAAATGGTCGTAGAATTGTTTTAACCACGTGGCTGTAGGTCTATCAAGATTAGAAGGTATGTCTAGGAAGTGAAAATGAAAATGTTGCCATGAAAATGTTTCATACAATATCGTTTTCTTCAAACCAGCCCCACCTGTCTTCGAGGCACTCTCAAGCGCTTCCTTCCGAAAGCGGGGATTTGTCGACTGGTCATGGCAAAACGCCTATCCGCATCCGTCCTGTCCAACCCAGCTGATCCAAGTGCGTGCGGTCACCACATTTTGTTGCCGTTGGTGTGTCATCCACGCCGCTTTCAAGATCTTCCTGCTCCGCACAACCATCTCCTAGAACCTCCTAAACAAGCCAGTTATTGGCTTGCAATAGAATTCGGCCTATTTTCCTTGTTATCCCCGGCAGGTTTATGAGGTTCGTAGATTTTTCGTGTTTGGCCTCCGTTGTTGTCCCGTTCGCTGCTCCGCATACAGCCCTGATGGAAAATGTTTTTGTCTATTTCTGTCACATTTGTGTCTTTCCAGCTCCAAGGAGAAGCCCACTCTCGGGTAAGTGTGATGGTGTCTTGTTTTTGTCATTTCGCTTTGGAGCAGTTTGAGCTAATTCGGTGATTTCGCTTTCCAGTGGCACGCGGATCAAGACCCGCAAAAGGAATATTGCGGTTCCTTTAGATCCGACCAGCTTTGCAGATGCGATCGTCCACATTTACAAGGATCACCAGGGGGATTTGGTGAGCTGCAGAGCTGTGTCGGCTCAGCTGATCGGTAACAAAGGATTCGGAACTGACATTGATTTCTTATGTGTTGCAGGAGCTTATAGCGAAGGATATCGACTCTTCCGAACTCGATTTTTCTCGATATGGGGAGACATTCTTCGAGGTATTATTTCTTAAACCCCTGCATCCCGTCTACGGACGGCGAACGTTGCCTAGGCCGCATGTTTAGTAATAAATTGTTTTGTCTTTCCTCAGGTGGTGCTTAGCGGCGGTCGTATGCAGCCGGGCACAACCAAGCCAGAGGAGGGGGCAGAGCGGCAGCCGTGGAATGTGCTCAGTTCTCCACCCACAAAGGAGGGGGTTCTTAAACATGTCCTTTTCATCCAAAAGATTCTGCGACGCCGTCCATTCATGATCAAGTCCTTGGAGAACGTGCTGCGCCGCTGGGTGCAGTCTCTGGTGCGAGGCTCGGTTGCAAGGTGGTGCTTGTTTGATTCTGTGATGTAGTAGAGCCTGATCGTCTTTCTGCTGTTGGGTGCAGGAAATGTATGAGCCTGAAGAGAGGAAGCGCCTTGCTGTGCTGACAGCCCTCTGCTTCTCACAGCGGTTTACTGGCCTGGCACCTGATGTCATTTTCATAGCCCTCCTTAATGACACGCTTGTTACTAAAGGCACCTCGCTCGGCTTCATTACGGACTTCTTCCATGTCTATCTGGTGGAGACCAACATGGATGACCTTGTGGGTCTGCTCAAGAAAGGGAAAGTCGATCAGCGGCTGATCGAGTTCATGCCCTCTCAGAAGCGGACTCCAGACGCATTCTCTCAACACTTCAGGTACAATTTCAAAAGAAGAGGGCGAGGGCGTCAAATTTTCTGAAAGCACATGGCGTGTGGTATGGTTGTTGCTTGTGAAATTTAACCCACGATTTTCTACTGCTGCTGCAGCAACGAGGGCCTGAAGGCGTTGGCGGATTACCAGAAGAAGGTGGTGTTTGATGTGAAGCTGAAGGAGCTGCACACAGCTCTCGCTGACATGATTGAGGAAGAGCACACAGATGTGGGTGATGTGATTGACATGGTTAAGCAGAGAAAGAAGGAGGGTGGCCTGGCGGATGGTGATGTTGTTCGAACAGTGTGGGATGCAGTCATGGGCGCTGTTCAGTGGTCAGGCAAAAATGTGCAACAGAATTCCAATACAGCCTTGCGACAGGTATGTATGGAACCTGTTTATCCGTGCGAGTTGGATTAGGTGAAGTCTTGACATGGTCTCATCTCATGGGCTTCATTTGGTTTACTTGGCAGCTCAAATCCTGGGCAAAGCTATTGGAGGCAGTGTGCTCGTCTGCCAAGATGGAGCTAGAGCTGCTTTACCACATTCAGTTGCAGTGCTACGAGGATGCTAAGATCCAGCGCCTCTTTCCCGAGTTTGTCAGGACCCTATACGATTGTGATGTCCTTGCAGAGGACACCATCATGCTTTGGTTCCGCAAGGGTTCCAATCCAAAAGGAAGGTATGTACAATGGGCTGCACTGTCATGCTTGATATTTGAGCTTGCTCTGAGGGTGGAGTCTTAACTAGTCAATTCTTGCTTTGCAGGCAGCTGTTTGTTAAGGCACTTGAGCCTTTCATCAAATGGTTGGAAGAAGCAGACGAAGAAGACTGAAGACTTATTGGTGTCTAGTTCTACTTATGAAGTTCAGTCTTACACCGAACATTGTAGCCAGCATTTGCTACTGCATATATCTGTGTTGAACGTCTGGAGTGCACAGTATCATGCAAATAATGAATCCTTCCTTTTTTAAGTTTTGCTGGGCTGCTGCTGCACTTGACAAGTGTAAAACGTGATTTGCAACAATTGTGATCAGTATTTACGCACCTTAATTAATGTGACATTTTAGGCTGGACGGATACCTTGCTACCTTGCTGCCATACCCACACTTAGTACATCAGATGATGCTAGGCTAGACTAAGGCATCAACTGAAGTCAATGCATAAAACCCCGTAACTACCTACTTACAGCCTAATCTGAACGAAGTTCACATCAAACCTCATGACTACCGCCTGCACTTCTTTGAGCCCCCTTTGGAAGTTCTTCAAACGCTTTCGCCTTGTCCTCGTTTGATTCATTGGTAGACACCATTTCAAAATGGCAAAGTAACCGTGGCCCCACAACCTCCTCTCCGGCCACCTCCACGAGAGGATGCCCCTTTCGGTCATACAGCGACACGCAGCGGAAGCCTGGCTTGAGTGATGCCACTGGCAGTACTGCCTGCCCTGCGAACTCGTCATTAAACTGGTCTTTCTCTAACACCTGCACAGGGGTTGGCAGACAGGCAGAAAGTTTGAGAGGCGGGTGAGATAGACAAGCGGATTACTAGAACATAGCAGCTACCATCAAGAGACAATAAACTGATTGAAATACTCAGGGTATATATATCATAAGTATACCTCGATGCAGAGCAGCGCGAGTTCGGGCAGTATGAGGGGGAACTCCAAGGTAGTGCCATCCCAGCAGGGGCACCAGTCGTCGCTGCACGTATCAAGCTTCTTCTCTGCTGAGTCCGATGGTGCCCCCTCAATGCTCACCTGGTTATGGGCGGGGGTAAAGCAGAGCAGCATTGATTACATGATTGGCATCTTATAATGGCGTCACTCGTTAATTACCATGAAACATGGACCAGTCAGTCTACCAAGGGCTGCTTGCAGTGTGCTCTGCTCTGGAAACTCAAGCATCAAGCGGCATCTTACTTTGCAGTAGAAGTCGGGCTTGGAGTAGGTGTCAAAGTGACCCTTGCCATACCGCTCCAACCAACCCGTGCCAACCACCACCCGCACCTGCAGGCCAGGCGAAGGATTTGACAAGGAAACGGGCGGGGGTAAAAGCAAAGAGAGGAGAAGGACAGGATAAGGAGAAGGATAGAGGGAAGGAGAAAGATGGAGGGGTAAGGAAGATGTGAATCAGGAGAAACATGGGAGTTAAGGAGCAGCGGGTAGTCTAAACTAAAGTGGGGGATAGAGGCAATACCAAACCGAGAAACCGTTCAAATTAGTCACATTACCCGGAGCGTCATTTGGATGGGTCGAGGAACAGAAGGGTCATAAACCCCTTCAGTGCTGCCTGCAGCGCTCTCGTCCCCCTCGGTGATTCCCTCCAGCTTGTTCCCAGGGGTGAGGTAGAAATCAGGTTTCTTGACGTAGCCGCACCCGCCGTTGGCACGGAAAAAGCCGTGCACGATCCATAGGGGGCGGCCGTAACCCTGGTGGTGGGCAGGCGAGGAACATGGTGGTGGAAACAAGACGAAAGACAGATGAATGTGAGGGGGAGCAAGGTAGTGCAGTTGGCAGGGAGGTGGCGATGCACGGTTCAGACCAGAAAGAGCCCTGAGAATGAAAGGAAGGTTGGGAGAGGTGGAGCGGGTAGAGATACTGGAAGGAAGAAGGAACAGAGTAGTGGATTGAGTGGCTGGGGAGTGAGGCGGCTTGAAAGATGGAAGGAAGAGAGCGATGGGCATCAAAACAGGGACACGGGGCCTTTACAGTGATTGTAGGCTGACCTATAGATGCCTACATATGTTCACCTGCAAAGCATGACGTCATCATGCATGCTGACCTGCATGTTCATGGCCACCATCTGAGCGCCATGCAGCCATGCCGGCATAGGGTCGTAGTTGGATGACGTCACCCTCAGCCCGAAGGGGTAGATGCGAAGCAGGTTGCGCTGCGTGAAGCTGGGGGGGGGGAGGGGGGGCGGAGATGGGGGAAGCGGGGGGGGGGGGGGGAAGAAGGGGGGATTGCGCTGAGTGAAGCTGGAAGGAGGTGGGGGAAGGTGGGCAGATGTGGGAGGGACTGGCCAGTGGCGAGGAGTGGGACAAGGCCAGAAGGGGAAACTGAGCCAGGGGAGAAAACCAAGCTGGGGGGCAGGGCAAAGGCGGAGGGTAAGTGAGAAGGCAGAAGGGGGACAAAGGAGCACAATGGAACAAGGCAGTGGGAGGGAAACGAGGTGGGGGAGGCGCAGGGCGGAAAGGGCAGGACGCAGCGCAGTGGATTGGAAGGGTGGATAGGGCGGGACAGAGGTGAGTGGTGGGACAGGAGGTGGAGGGTGGAGCAGGCATGTCCAGGGAGGGAGAAAGGTGGAAAGTGGTAGACTGGTAATATGCATGCAATGACAATGGGGGTGGGGGGTTTCAAGTCCTTTCCCAACCTCCCCTTAGCACCCACCCACCACACCACTGACCACTGTTCACCATCACTAACTTGCCGTGCCGAACAGACAACCTGCTCAAAAGTCACACCATCACCAACCCGACGTGCCGAACAGACAACCTGCCCATGCTCACCTCAAAAGTCACCCTGAGGACACGTCTTGACCGTGTTAGTGCACACTCAAGTCTTCTTGCCCCGCCCACTCACTCCCACTCACCTCAGCTCACCCAGCCATCTCTCCCATTCATTCCACCTCACGAGCCCCTTGGGACATGCCTTGTGTCAGTGAGCTGCCGTTTGCTGAAGCTCACGCGGTCAAGCCTGCCTGCGTGGACTGACGCCCAGCCAGCCCCTCACACGCACCTCACCAGCCCCTTGAGTCCTGACACGCCTCAACAACCAACCTGTCCCGCGCCCTCACCTCACGAGACCCTTGGGGCACGTCTTGGCGGTGTTGGTGAGCTGTGATTCGCTGAAGCTGACGCGCTTGGGCGGCCCCTCGCCGTTGTCTCGCAGCCCGTCCTCCACCGTCTGCCCCGCCGTCAGTTTGCCGCCCGGAATGGCAATCAGCCGCCGGTACTCCGGGGCTAGCTGCTCCGGCTGTGTTGCTTCCTCGTCCTCCTCCTCCCACGCACCCGCCTCCTGTGAAGGAGGCGAGAGAGAGAATTGGAGAGTCAGGGGAAAGGGGTGATGTAAGAGAGGGGGAAACAGGTGCTCAGAGGTACTCAGCGTTTGGCTGCTGGCTGAGCTGCTGCCTCGTCCTCCTCCCACGCGGCCGCCTCCTGTGGGGTGAAGAGAGGGGGAGAACGGAAGGGTGAGGTGAGAGAGTGGAAACCTAGGTGGCGCGAAGGTAATCCGGGGGGGCAGCTGCAATAGCAGAGCTGCCTCCTCCTCCCACGCTCTCCGCTCCGCACCATCTCCCCCCTTCCCCCGTACCCCAACACCTCCCCGCCCCTTCCTCCACCCCCCCAAGCTCTCACCTCCACGACCTCCCTCTCCTTGCCTTCCTTCAGCGCGACCATCGCCACCGCGCGGTGCTTCTCCGCTTCCCCCAGCCCTAGCGCATCTCTTCCCCCCCTCACCTACCATCCCCTTTCATTTCCCCCCAACTCTCTCACCTTGATAAGCTCCGCCTCGTTCACTTCATGCAGCCGCCCCTCCTTCAGCGCGGCGCTCGCCGCCTCGCGCGCCTTCTCCGCCTTGGCGCGCACCTTCTCCGCGTCCCCCAGCCCCAGCACCTTGGCCTTCGCGCGCCGCTCCTCGCTCGCCACCGCCGTCACCCCCCCTTCCCCCCCCGCGCCGCCCGCCGTCCCGTCTGCCGGCTGGCCGTCTATCTTCTCCTCGGCGGGGTCGTCTGTGGCGACGACGGTGGAGAGTTCTTTGGGCCCCTTGGGCGGCTGCGTGGAAATCAGGATCTTGCCGCGCAGCGAGAAGGGCGACGGGAACTCCTTGTCGCCATCTTTTGGCATGTACAGCGTGTCTCCGAGAATAGATGTGAGGGTCTGGCAGGAGGGGTAGAAGGGAGGGGACGGAGAGATGCGAGTGAGGAAATTTGGGAGAAGACGACGCAGGGAGAAGGGCGAGGGGAACTCCTTGTGGCCGTCGTTGGGCATGTAGAGCGTGTCGCCGAGCATAGATATGAGGGTTTGAAGGGGGGGGGGATGGGGAAGGGAGGTATATGGAACGAGTGAGCGAGGTTGGTCCGGGGAGGGCGAGGGGAACTCCGTGTCCCCTTCCTTGGGCATGTAGAGCGTGTCGCCTAGAATCGTCGTGAGGGTCTGGGGGGAGGGGGGAGAAGGGAGGAAGGGATGGGGAGGGGCAGAAGGTACATGGGATGAGTCACTTGTAGTTGTCCCCGTCCTTGGGCATTTAGAGCGTGTCGCCCAGGATAGACGTGAGGGTCTAAGGAGGGGGGGTTGAGGGTGGGGGAGGAGGGAAAATTGGGGATACTATGGAACGACGCATGGTGCAATGTCGCATGGCGCAATGTCGAATGGTGCAATGTCGCATGGTGCAACGTCGCATGGTGCAACGTCGCATGGTGCAATGTCGCATTGTGCAATGTCGCATGGTGCAACGTCGCATGGTGCAACGTCGCATGGTGCAATGCTGTTTGTTCCCTTTGCTGCACTCGTTCCACTTAGCGATTGTTGCTTGCAGAACGCTATGTTTTTTTTTTTTTTAACCTCCTCTTCCTTACACTATTACTGATCCGCAAAATTCCATTCCTTTGGCTTCGCTCACCTGGGCGGCTTTTTCTTGCAGCGGCGCGGTGAGGTGGTCTTCGAGCGTGATAATAACGGGGTACTCGGACACCACGAACGCGTGCTCCTTGATCGCCGTGATGCAATCCGCGAACCCCACCGGCTTCGTCAGCGTGCTGCGCGGGGGGGAAACGGCGGAGGAGGGACGGGGGAGGGGGAGAAGGGGAAATGCGGGGTGGGGAAACGGGGGTGGAAA